TGTCTGGCCCACCGCTCTTTGTCCTTCCATGGCCATTCAGTTGTTGTCCACTTTAAAAAAGGTAAGGCCCTGGTCTTACTTTGACATGCCAACTGTTGGCAGAATGACCTCCACTAGAGGGAGCTCAAGAAAGCCCCTCTACGGGGTATTTCTGGCCTACTCTTCCACGCTGTTTAAATATATCTCAAAGTCACCACTGCTACTGAAGATATGCATATGCGTTGCACGCTAAATCTAATAGAGTATCAAACTAGATTCGAAGCTTTCGTGATTGCAGGAATTACTCTTTAGTTCTTTCGGTAAAGTCACGTAGAAAGAAATTAAACTAAATAATAATAGAATACGACGTTTCGATTGCAACACAAGCAACCGTCATCAGGTACAAATGAATGACACAACAGTCAACACCCCACCTGGTTGATTACGTTCTTCCAAAGATTGCTAAATTTGAGAGAGAGACAAAACATAGACACGGAGACACACAGACAGACACACAAGCAGAGGGAGACTCACACAGAGACAAACAGAGAGAGACAAAGACCCCCCGTATAGCCTTAACCAAAAGAACCAAAGACTAATACAGAAACATTTTCCTTTATTTAGAAATTGGTGCAACTTACTACACAGGTATTCTGTGACGTGACGAAAGTGTTCTGTCCAGTGCGGCCAAGAATGAATGATTGGGTGGGCGCCCGTCACTTCGCCACCACCATCGTTGCCGAAAATGGCAGGCAAAGAGTGCCAGCCCAAGAACCGTCTGCCTCTCCTTTCACTCGCAAAAACACACGTCCACACAGACATTCACCTCCTCGTTCCCCATCACACTCCCAACACTACACTACAACCTTGCAGGAACAAATGTTTCCCTTATCCTCCCTGCAATACGACTCCCCCCACCCCCCAAGTCCGTGAAACCCTCTCACTCCAACATTAGCCACAGCACCGAAACGTACTGACGGTAACAAATGTGATTCACCTTCACAACGCGCTTGGCTTGTATGGGAGAGCAGTTATGATTCAAATGCTAGGAATGCAAAGTACACTTGCAATCAGACAAATGAAGTGCTTTGCCATTATTTTAAAGCGCAATTGAAACAATGCAGCATTGAAGAACGATAAAAGTAATAATATACGGTATAGGAAGGTAAACTTCATCGTGTCTATTTTTGTAACACGTTTAAATTATTATATTTGAATGAAACTCTTTAGTTCAGTTTCTTAAGTGTAGCGGAAAATTCAAATCCAATTGTTCATATAATAAACAATTTAACAATATCTACTCCTTGGTTTTTTCGGTAAAAGTCACGAAAAAACCAAAGAGTATGAATCCTTGCAGTCACTAAAACTTCAAATCTAGAATTTAACAATTTACCATCAATGAAGAAAATGTATAAATTATACAAAGGGCACGGTCACAATTAATGTCGAGGGTAGAGTCTTCCAGTTTATCGAGTCGGATGTTACATAAGCCAAGTTGTCGCCCTTTTTATTACACGCTTTTATTTAACTCACTCTGTCTGTTGTATCCTCAAATATTGTAACTCAATTTTAACCTACTTCCCAATGTGGTATCGACTGAAAACTTGGTATATTTATGTAAGACTGATGACAATACTATATTCTTTAAAAAAAATTTAAACATACATTTTTCTACGTAATGTTTCGGCTTGGGTCTAATTGTCCACGCTCAACTGACGTTGGCTGTAAATCACCAAGGCCCTCTGACGTTATGGCAAGCTTCGGGGCCACTTCCTGGAGTCGTGGAGTTCTGCCGTTACGAGTAGGGTACATTTAATTAAAGCGTGTTTTTTAAAAAGTATTTTTAAATATTACTTATTCTTTGATGCAGAAACAAGCAACGTACGTCAGCAGCATTTAATCAGAGGGCATTAACCAGCTGCATTTATCAGCACGCGTCCATTACTGCCTGGACTGCTGCCCGCTTTGCCAGTGCAGTGCCACGTGCTGAGGGACGTTAAGTTCTTTACGTTAAAAATAAACCAAAAATAATGTACCAATGACAAACGCTGTGACTATGATCCAGCAACAAACAAAAAAAAACCACCCAACTTGAGAACATCGCCACTTTAATTGCTCGCACCGTAATATTTTAAAGTGCAACATAATCCATGTCGCTGTTGAAATTCCTTTCCTTATCCAGCAGAGGGCACGAATACACTTAAGCGCATCCAATGCGGCTAATCATTAGGACTGTACAAGTTTACGTAATTCCAGCTGGCAAGACTTGTGCTGTGATACATTCAGGGGATAACTATATTCCTTAACTTGGCAGAAAGCGAAAACAAGTGTTATTCTGTAAATAATTTAGTTTCTTTAAAATTTGTTTTTTGTATATGGTAGTGACAAGGTTTAATAACAATGCCAATCTTATTCTTTAGTTATTTCGGTAAAGTCACGTAGAAAGAAAAAAAAGTGAATAAAAATGATACAAAATAAAAACTAATGTAGACTGTAGCCTGTTTTTTAAGCTGATGAGCGTACTGGCAGTCTATGATGTAGACTGTAGCCTTGTTCTTAATCTGAGTAAGCATACTGGCAGTCTATAGTATAGACTTATTCTCGGTAAAGTCACGTAGATAGGTTCAAAGAAAATAACTAAAAACTACGACGTTTCGATCGCAACAGAAGCAGTCGTCATCAGGAAAAAGGGGGTTAACTTCTAAAGACAACTGCTTATAAAGGTTTGAAATGGGCATAGCCCAAATGTCAGCAGCCAATGCAAGTGGTGGGCGGTGGTGAGCTTTCCACCAATCAAAGGGCTGCCAGGCAAAAAATTAGCATGTCAATGTAAGAGATTAGCGTGTTAATGGGAGAGACGAGTATGTTAATGTAAGAGATTAGCATGTTAATGGTAGATCGTGAAGCAGCAGCCTCGAGGATGGCGCACGAGGTAGCTGTGTTAGTGAGACATTTAATCTGTTAATGTAAACAAAATCAGAGAGCCGAAAATAACAACTAACATCGGAAGGTGGTAGGATGGGAACATCACAGCCAGTTATGACTTCAACTAGTTAATAACGTCCTTCCAATTATTGCTCAGTTTATACCCATCTTCTCGGTTTAAATTGTGCCTGTGTCTATATATATATGGATGGCTTCATGAACGAATCTTTGTTGATAGCCAGTGGGTTTGCAAAGTACCTTCGTCTTAGAGAAATCTATTTTGTGTGAGCCCACCGCATTAAAACAATGATCAGCCACGGCCGAGGTATTGGTCCTATCGTGTTTCAGATCTGCCTTATGTTCACGAACATGGTCCTGCAGTCACGAAAGTTTCAAGTCAAAAATTGACAATCTTCATCATTTCCCGTAACAAGTGACCAACATTGACATTGGTAAAAAAAATGCAAAAGGCAAGCAACAGGAGAAATCTAGACAAATGACACATAACACCAAAACAGAGCACTGTGTGTAGATATCATGCAGACCCACAGGAACATCCACCAAAGAGTGGATATCAACATCCGTCCGAGGTCTCAGTGCAGTGGACAATCTCACCCCAGACTCCGACTTGCAACAAAAGCCTCCCCAAACAGCTAGAGTCCTGCACCCCAGAGTCGAGCCTCTCTACTCCTCGACAATCCGCCACCGCCACCGGTGAGCGCTCTGCATACCCCATGAAGCCCAGCACCAATCAGCTCTCCACTCATACTCAACAGGCATCTACCTACCTAATACTAGATTTGAAGCTTTCGTGACTGCAAGGATTCATATTCTTAGGTTTTTTCGGTAAAGTCACGTCGGTAAAAAATAAAAATTAATAAAAGTAAAATAAAAATAAATAAAATTCCACCCCCTCGTCACACATCGTCACAAATGTCTGACCCCCACCCCCCCAGGTGCGTGACGTCATTTATGGACGCCCCCTCATTGGAAGGCCCGTGGGCCACTGGTACGGCCCCCCACAATATAGAAACATGAAATACCCCATCACTGCTGTCAAGCCCCAATGGTTTCCAGGGTGTGGCAGCCCTCACACGGATGTCTTATCCGTAAAAGTGGTCCCCCCCTCTGAAAATGAGTGAGGAATACTGGCAACCCATCACGCCACAGCCTTGACACCACACCAAACCATATTACACCAATAGGGCACATCACACCACATCACACCAAAGTCAATGCAAAACCAAACGTGTTTTTTTAATCTTGATTTGAAGCTTTGTGTGGAATTGGTGACCGGTCTGAGACTCTACACAGGCAGCTGCCTGGATTCAAATCCCAGGAGCTGTGGTCAAATCCCAGGATCTGTGGTGCCAGTTCCGGTATTATACGGATTGATGGACTGATATGACTGGCAGATGTTACCAAATGTGCTCCAAACTGTACCAACTTGCTGTGTTTTAGCTGCCCGGCGCTCTGACAATCTCCGTTCAACCAAAAGGAAAGCTGCTCCGGCAAACAACTGCTCAATAAAGAACTCACGATGACCCGGGCTTCGTGTCGTTGTCAATCAATCTTTATTTGTTTTTTTTGTGTGCCAATATCGCCCTCAATAAAGTCGGCATCAGCTGTGTTGGTTCGACCGTGGTGTGACGGATATAGTAATCGAGCCAGACCAAACGGCACCAATCGAGAAACCTCGGTGTGTACATGTAATCATGGTGTAATGTAACTAGAATTATATCCAGGAGAGCCTGAGTTTCAAGTATCTTTATCAGGCGACTCCAACCACTTTGGGATGCTTCATTTCCATTCATCAACAAAGTTGAATCACGGACGCCTGAAACACGGATATGTTTATTTCCTCAGAACTATGTTATCTCCCCGAGTCGCTAACGCATCTGCTGCTTTGGTTTAATGTCAATACAGTACAAGTTAAACATTTTAAACATCCAATCGACTTTGCGGTGCGGCCTACGAGCCCCTACCGAGAAAGACGCAGGCTGGGCGGCAGGGAAACTAGTCGAGGAGGCGTCACACCCCTCCCCTCCGCCGCCCGTAACGTCCCGCGTATCTCTTCTCGTAGCCTCCCAACTCACCCGTGCCAAAATCCGCGACCTTAGCGCCGCTCTCTGCGTCCGCCCTTTTAACGAACTCAAACATGAGGCGTTCCCTGTCTTCTTGAGATGCCGCCGCTTCTAAATCTTCCTCGAGCTGCGACTGAGCGCTTAGCACCGAGCCGATGGTCACGGCGGACTCCATTGCGCGCCTCGCCCTTAACGCTAGGGACCGCGGCGAACGCGGAATGAAAAACGAAGGAAATTTTAAAACCGTGCAGGGGTGCAGTGAAATTTTACGGAATGAAAAACGAAGGAAAATTTAAAACCGTGCAGGGGTGCAGTGAAATTTTACGGAATGAAAAACGAAGGAAAATTAAAACCTTGCAGGGGGGCAGTGGAATTTTACGGAAGGAAAAACGAAGGAAAATTAAAACGTGCAGGGGTGCAGTGGAATTTTACGGAAGGAAAAACGAAGGAAAATTAAAACGTGCAGTTGGGCAGTGGAATTTTACGGAAGGAAAAACGAAGGAAAATTAAAACGTGCAGGGGGACAGTAGAATTTTATGGAAGGAAAAACGAAGGAAAATTAAAACGTGCATGGAGTGCAGTGTAAATTTGCGGAATGAAAAACGAAAGGGAAAACCGTGCACGGGGTGCAGTGGGAATTTGAGGAATGAAAAAAACGAAGGAAAAAACCGTGCAGGGGGGCAGCGGAAATTTGAGAAATTACAAACGAAGGGAAAAAACGTGCACGGGGTGCAGCGGAAATTTGCGGAATGAAAAACGAAAGGAAAAAACCGTGCAGGGGGTCAGTGGAAATTTGCGGAATGAAAAACGAAGGAAAATTAAAACCGTGCACGGAGTGCAAAAAACATTTGTTAAGGCTATAGTCAGAATGTGATGGCACTCACAAATGTATATTTGAAGCTTCGTTATATATTAAGATTACAGCCACTGAACTGATGTCATTATAGTGCTATGACAGAGTTGCCCCAGAGTCATAAAGTATTCAACAATTATCAGACAACCCATTGAGACATAGCAAAGACACTGGCGGTATATTTAAGACCAAGTTGGTGTTTGCGTTGCATATTCCCTTTCAGTGAATGTATCATCATCAGCCAATGTCTATCCACTACTGGATGAAGGCCTTCCTACGCCGTCGCCATTCCTCATGGTGCAGTGCTGCTGCTGCTACCATTTATCTCACTCCAGCACAAGATTTGATGCTATGGCTCCATGTTCGCAGTGGACGTGCTCCTGAACGAGCGGTCCTTTGGTTGCCATTTCAATCGGCAGCCTCATCCATTGGCCAACTGCCGAGCAATGTGTTCTGACCAAGCCCGCTGACTTTTCATAATTGTTAAGGTGGTGTATTAAATCGTGTACGTTCAGTAACCCATGTCACTCTTTGCTCATTTGTGCACTTTTCATCTTTATTACACTTTTTTGGCAAAAAATATAACTGTGCAAGAATAATGTGTTCCTTTTTAGTTGGTGTATTCCTTTCAGCGAAAGTATACAATTAATACAATGTTGACTCAAAATCACGTTTTTTTTGTTGGGTGAGCAAAAGTAATATCTTGATGTCACAGCTGAAAAACTTTCTGTAATAAAATAGGTCATCGTCATTTTGCTCTGAATAATATTCACAGAAAAATGTGATCAGTTTTCACGTGTCTATGTCTCATTCATGTGTTTTCCATATGTTTGCAATGTATCCAAAGGTGAAACTGATCAGCCAAGCGTGTTCTCACATTTTTCCAAGACGTTTGTCCAGCGTGGGACACGGCATAAGGCAAACTGCCTTCGAAAGAGACTCTCTGGAGATACCTGCAGTGGAGGCCTTTCCGCCAGCATAAATGCGTGTTATCTACCAATTGGTAATTTCATATTACGAGAGGCAATATCACTTCAAGATGGGCTCATTATCGGTCTAACACGCACATTCTCTATGAGGTTGGATCATGAACCATGATAACGCAGCATGACGTGACATCCTCTTTCCACTGGGCGGGAATGCTTAAATTTGGGGGGGGGGGGGCAGATCTGCAATCCATTTGCCAAGCATTGGGAGGCACGGTAGCCACACACGTAACCAGCCATCACTGCTAAACGTCCGATTGATATAGCTCATCAGCAATGAACGACGACAGTGATGCCAGCGAAGGAGACATATGGCATTACAAGCCTCTCGCGAGGACGAGAAAAAGGCCCATTGGTGAGGCCCCCTGTCGCGAAGATCGGAAAAAGCGCATATTCAACTTTGCCACCACCACCGCTTTAAGCCAGCCAAAAGTTCCAGACAGCCGAGTGTTTCATTTCTCACCCAGCTGCACCGCACCTGCGGCATTTCTCGAGGATGGCTTCGCGAAAGACCTAGGAAGAAACTCAAACGCACTTCAAATGCGAAGTGCACGTGGTGTGATTAATACCCGCGCTGCACAAAGTCAAAGTTCCGCGCCAAGCTCCCACTCAGGTAAGTGTTCATTTATCACAAGCACTTCATCATCAATTAATATACAAGATTTGTTTTGAAGAGTATTTTCATATATTTGAGCACCATCTATACAGTAGTGGCCATGTATTGGATATTAACCTTTTTTTATCGTGCGTTTAGTTTGTTGTCTTTCCCCTGCACCTTCCAAAAGCACGGTTGGCTATGTAATGTGCGAAAGAAGTGAAACACACATACATGATGGTAACAACACGGTAGCAGTAGTCGCTAAGTCATCAATGGGCAGTTTTGAATGTTCCTCCAGGTGTAAATAAGAACACAGATTTAGCAATAATCATATAATGTATTGTTTCACCAACCCGCACTACTAACCAACACGGTGAAATGTGGTCAAACAACCCCCAGTAAAATGACAGCGGTGAACATGAATAGCAATAACATGAATAGCAGCACACCATTCTCTGACGTTTGTTGTCGGCCAGCACTCTAAAGTGTTTACTTTTTGATCAGACTGCGTTAATCGCTGTGCCTCCATCTACCCGCCAAGATGGTATCAACAGAAATAATAATCCGCAAACATTTTCCCCCTCGCAGCCAGGCAAAGCCTTGATCCTACTTCCTCAAAATATCAACGTGTTCCTCATTAACAAAAAGAGCTCAACAAAACACAAATGCTGTCATACATTTTGATGACGCCAGCTCAAACGAGTGAATATGTGGAAGCTGCAAGCACTTAATGACGGTTGCGAGTGGAGAGAGTGAACGAAAGAATGAAATTAAATTACGAAAAATGATGGCCCATTTTTTTATTCTCTTGGAAATAAAATCTTTATGTCGGTCTGTCATTGCATTATTCACAGCGACATCTGTATTCGTTGTAATTGTAATACAGATTTTTTTTTTATTGAAGTGACAGTGCGTCTTAAAATGCTGCTTTATCACTAATAAAGATTAAATATCTTTCTCCATATGTTTAACATATATTTCTTATAAAACCTTACATGTATTCTTACATTCAGTAACATTTTCCCTCTTCATCGCTAAAGCGTATAATGTCAACAACATTTGCATCTTTGCGTGTAAAATTGACCGACGGACATGTGTTGTTATAGGCAAATTAATATAAAGTAAATTGTTGTGATATATATTTTTCTTATCATGCTTGATTATCCAGGAAAGCCTGACTGAGTCTCTTTTTCAAGAAGGTCTTGCGAAGTGTTCGCAGGGGAGGGGTGATTATTGCCGTGTCTAATCCTAATCGAGTAATTTGTGGGTAGTTTTTTCTTTACAATTCTTTAACACTGTTTGTGCACCATGACACTGGCACGCAATGGCCTTCATGTTTCGAATATTACGGGACCCTGAACGTGCACTGTGAAGCGAACACAGTCGATTTTTTATCATTATTGCACACCGCAGTAATAACCAGAGCGACCACTGGATTCGAACCGTGAATCTCTGCAACACGCGGCGAACGCGATACCCCTACCGCCCCACACAGACAAACTAAGTGCACAGCCCTTTAGACAACTCACTGCTGGATGAGGGCATCTCCACGCTGTGCGGGGTTGTAGGCGTTACAGGAGTAGCCAGGGTTTGTGAAGTCAGGGAGAAGGGACATGGGGGCATAGAAGCGCAGTCCGTAACAATGGATTTTGCTGGATCTGTGTCCGTTAGTAGGAAACAAAAACAGCTGCAGAGAAGGTGGGCAACATTATCTGTGAACACAAAATGTATTTCGATTTAAAGCTTTCGTGACTGCAGGGATTCGTCTTCTTGGTTCTTTCGGTAAAGGCACGTAGAAGGGAAATAATAATAAAATAATCATCACGACGTTTCGGCCACAACGCAAGCAGCCGTCCTCAGGTGAAGAATGAAACACCACCAGGCTTGGAGCGTATATTTAAGCTGGGTTGGAGGGGGAAGAAGAGCGCCTTGACAAAATAATTTGCATATCAAGAGGAATTTAGCATATTAATGGGAAATGCAAATTCTTTTGTCAAGGCGCTCTTCTTCCCCCTCCAACCCAGCTTAAATATACGCTCCAAGCTTGGTGGTGTTTCATTCTTCACCTGAGGACGGCTGCTTGCGTTGTGGCCGAAACGTCGTGAGAATTATTTTATTCTATGGGGACCTCATTTGCCAGTAAAAATATGATAATTGGTTCTTTACCCTTCTATCTGGCAACAAAACTGACACCTTTTTGCAAGGAGTCATGTTTGCGGTCTATGCAAACATGACTCCTTGCAAAAAGGTGTCAGTTTTGTTGCCAGATAGAAGGGTAAAGAACCAATTATCAATTATTTTATTATGTTTAATTTGTATTATTTTATTATTTCCCTTCTACGTGACTTTACCGAAAGAACCAAGAAGACCAAAATGTATATTATACGTGTCACTTCTACTCTTGACTGATTACTGGCAATGGAACCTTTTCACACGTGGCATATCGCCGATATCCTGTGGCTGGCGAGAGTTATTTGGGAGCCGCGAGGCCTTGCAGCAGTGGACAACGCGCTCGCAGGTGGTCATGCATCGGCCTCGCTGCGCTGGTAAAAAAAACTAAAATCAATCAATCAATCTACGTTTGCCTTGCCGTAGATTTCTTTCCATGCGCGAGGTGCAACTCTGTAAGATCGCGGGAGATAAAGCCAGGCCGATCGCCCAGCTAGCCGATTGCTATCTGTTCGTGTTATTTTTTTCGTTTTTAACACGCAACATACGACGAAGAAAAGCATGCAATCGCGCCGTGCACATGAATTGAAAATAACGATGCAAGCCAGGCATGTAATGATTCATTCACACTGCCCGCATCACCAGCGATCCAATGAATTGTGGTGGTTTAGAGTTATGATACCATTCAGGAATCACGTTTTATTTAGTTTATATCAACATAAACATAAATATGCAGAAACGATATCTGCTTGGTATAATATTCACCTGAGTACTAATAAAATATCAATGCTGAATATAAAAAAAAATCTAATCTGAGTATTGATCTCATCTGTGGCACCGACGACCCTTGTTTTCCAAAAAGGTATTGAACGGACAACTCCACATCAGATTTCTCAACACAGCCATCATGATGTCACTCACGATTTAGGGGAAACAAACGTCTCCTCCGCCGGCTGGCTGCACGACATCACAGATCAAGGACACCCAACGGAACAGAACATCTACTCAGCCGAGGGCCGTCTGGTGCAGCTACGTGACAGCGCATTGAACGATCTAAACATGCGCGTGCAGCTCCGATCAGCGGGGAAAGACTGCTGGAAGCAGTCGCCAATGAATAATAATTACAATAATGTCTCTTGTGTTGAGACCCAATACAGCAGCTGCGAGATGTCCCGAAATGCAACAGCCGATGACAGTGGCTACGTGTCACCGGCTCAGGACGCGAGCTTCCTTTCCGTGATCAGGTACGTTTAACCCGGGCCGTGACATGTACAATATTCTATCATGTGGCTTTGTATAACGTCTAAACGCGGTAACGTCTCAAGATGCTGTCTTGGCAGCTGCTGATCTTTTTCAGTTGATGTTTTAGGGCATGATGCCTTATTTGAGGTGTGTACAATTTAGTTTTTTCGGTAAAGTCACGTAGGTAAAAATATAAATTAAAATAAAAAAATAATTATTTATTTTCATTTTGTTTTATTATTTTACTTTTATTTTTTATTTTTACCTACGTGACTTTACCGAAAAAACCTAAGAGTATGAATCCTTGCAGTCACGAAAGCTTCAAATCGAGAATACAATTTAGTTATTATTTTACCCATTTTCACATCTCCATCCAGCAGTAATAACGGCGACACCACGAATTGTATATCGGCAGCTCGTCTGTGGGTACTCCCACCGCTTCCAAGACGTCTGGCCAGCGTGGAAGAGTAGGCCAATTACCCTCTAGATGGGCTCTATAGAACTCCGTCTAGTTGAAGCCCTTCCATCAGCAGTTGTGCATGGATACAATTGCAGGACTGTACCTTTGCCTCTTTCGCCTTTAATTTTTTCGTCATTAATTTAAACATTTGTAATTTTTTAGGTCTGGGGGCAAGCACTCTAAACTCAAGAGATGCAGGAAAGCCAATTCGCCAACAAAGAGCAGCCCTCTCATCACATCTTCTCCAGCTGCAGAAACAAGGCCACTCCTCCCTGACTGGCGGGCTGACCAAAGGCCAGAAGAGACCATCACAGAGATTCCAGAATCTTCCATAAGCGACGAGGATGGCTCAGATGAAGAAGACTTCAGAAATGTGTTACTAAAACCAAACTTGACTCGGTTAAAACAACATCAGATAAGGGACTTACAACAACAGCTGGGATCTTCAGAGAGTACAGGCTCCCACCTGATACCTAATAAATATGGAAATTGCAGGACAGGTGCCTTGGGTGCAGCAGTGTCCTACAAAGACAGTCTACTGCAGCTGCACACCCAAACACAGGGGAGGAATCGCATGCTGCAAGACATCACGGAATCGGTGTATGGAAATCAAAGCGTGGCAAGCAGCGGCCAGACAAAACACTCGGCTCCATCCTCTGCAATGCAAAACACACCGTTGGGACCGCAGATATGCGATGACTTCAGCGACTCCGATGATTTTGAGCAGTCGATGACGCCGAGAAGATTTGGGAGTAAAAATCCGAACGACCGCCAGGCAAACGGAGAGGGTGGCCAGCAGCAGCTACCTGGAGCAGAACGTGATGACGAGGGCGCGCCGCGGCCAGAGGGATCGCGAGTCGGAGGAATTGTAAAATCGAACAGGCCCAATTTGCAGAGCGACAGCAATTCCACTCGGCGGGAATCTGCAGAGCCAAGCCGGAGGAGCGAGGAGACGATGCCCCCAGCTTTTCGTGAAAATGTGGAAAATGATCAATTTTGGCGAAAGGGTGATCGCGACGTTTGCTTCGATTTGGTGGTGGTGGAGGACGAGGAGGAGGAGGAGGAATGCACTCAAATAAATTCCAAGGCGTGCGGCAATCGGTGCACGAGAAAATACGACACACTGACACAAAGCACCCAGACTTCACCGGACATCAAGAGCTCCATTGTCGGACGCCTAAAGCGACGCGGGCAGCCTGCGCGTGCCCTGCGCGGCGCGGCCACGGGCTCGACTCGGAGAACGAAGGGGGACAGTGCCGAGCGTTTACCCTTCTCTCCAATCTTGTACGCCGCCTCGTCGGACTTTTCATCGCAAGGCGACGGCTGCAGCCTCACGCCAATGCCCCGCGCGTTCTGCGGAGTGGCGCAAAAGACTTTTCCCTTCATTCTCCCGAGCGACCTGGAGCGGCTCCCGACGAGGGGAAACTTGTTTCGCGCGATGACAAACGAGGCCACGCGGCCCCACGTGGCGACCCGCGCAGCGGCCGTAAATTACCGCGGCAGCTCGAGAATGATGCGCGCTCTCGACGCGGCGAACGAACGTGGCGGCGACGAACGCCCGCGGGCCGCCGTTTCGACTGGGCAGAAGCTGGCGGCGCGACCACCGATGGGAAGCGTTCGCGGCCCCCGTGGCAGGCGGGTCTCGCAAAACTGTTCGGACGCCGCTGAATTTGTGTCCTCGGCGGCGACGCGGCAAACGACGATCGCGAACGTCGACGGACGGCCGCACCCGCACACGTCGTGCCGTCGTTCCGGGGCAAAATCGGCTTGCGGTGAGGCCGCGAACGAGCAGGGAGACGCGACCCTGCCGTCGATGGCGCAGCGCGAGCGCGACTCGGCCGACGCGGGCGCTGCGTTGCTCCCTGGCAGCGCTCGATCCGCGCAGCTTCCAGGCGGAGCGGCGGTGGACGAGGATGGCGTCGCGAGTGCGCCGCACGCGACGGAATCGCAGGTGCTCAACCAACAGCAGCTGTCCACGTCGACTTACAGCAGACCTGTTCGGCGTGACAATGGGACAACAAGTTCGACCGAAAGCCTCGGTGGCACGGTCGCGCCGCAGAATCGTGGGCCCTCCGTGTCAGATCCGAGTGTCTGTAAAGGCGATGTTCCATCGAGTCCGACACGCGCGTCTTTGAGCGCGCACAGCAGCCGTGCATGGACAAACGACCGCTGGGACCATTCGTACAACATCAGGGACATTGAGGGTGAAACTTGCGTCAATTCGAACCACGGCCAGATGAACACCGCTTCCTTCTATGGGCAAAAACAACAACTGAGGTCGCGTGAACTGTCGGGCAGACTCTCAAAGAACCTGCAGAATCGAACAGACGACAGCGCAAATAAAACACCACCAGCTCAGCAGCCGACAGGGGATCAAGTTGTTTCCCGGCTCAGGGCAATGATAGAAAAGGCCGAAAATAGACAAAAACAGATAAGCGCCATGAGCAGGACAACTCGGGTTCTAGAGTTCCCACCAGGTCAGCAGAACGGTGGGCGGCATAAGAGAGGACCTGTGACCCCGCGGACCTGGGACGTACGCGCGAGCCCTGCCAACGCACACGAAGGCCGCGGTAACGCGCCGAAGGAGGGCGCGCTGCTGTGGACAAGTTGCGGCGATGACGGTGCCCCACCGGCGACGGAGCGGGTGCCGGCTGAAGAAGCGGTGGAAGAGGAGTCTGATCGCTTGGAGCGCAGCGAAGCCAGCGTCTCGCCGAATGGAGACCGCGCACAAATTAGCCGCCGCGCAAGCACCGGCGTCGACGGTTCGGGCTCCGAGGTCGCAAACATGAAGGCACGGGGAGGAATGTCGAGCAGACAAAATGTTCTGGCGAGCGGACAAAATGTTCTGGCGAGCGGAGGAACCACGAGGAGGGCCCGGATTGGTGGCAAGGTGGTGCGCAGGGCTCCGAGCAGGCAGGAGGTGGAGCGCAGGCTCCTCCAGAGCGGCATCAGCGTGAAGAGAATGGCGAACGCCGGGAAGGAACTTTCCACGTCCACGCAGAGGAGGAAGCGGGACGCGGCCACCTCTGTCGCCGCGAACCGTGAGGGGGCATCCGGAGCCACGCGGGTGGCATCTGGAACGGTTGAAGGGAACGATACGTTTACGAGCAAAATCCCAGGTCAAACAACACGTCGGACTTTCTCAAGACCATAAATGTATTGCTGTAATTTTCCTTCCCAAGAGATAACACACACATATATTTAAAAAAACATGTTTCCCTTCCATTTCTATACAGGGAAGGAAAATGTATTCTAAAGCGTGTATACTTCAGAAACGTTCGTGCCTCCTCCAAGATTTTTTTTTTACACAAACGCTGGAGTCGGCGCGCGCGAGAGGGACATATTTTGCCGTCAGTTTGTGGCGATGGTGTCACTTGTTGTTGATGTTGTTGTCTTCTTCTCCCGCTCTCTCTCTCTCTCGCTCCAGGCACGAGTTTCGCGGTGGACGCCTTCTCGTGCGGGGCCGTCGCGAGCTGCAGCGCCCACTTCCTGAGCCACTTCCACCCGCACGCCTACCGCGGGCTCTCGCGCTCCTTCGACCGACCCATCTACTGCAGCAAGGTGACAACTGACCCCCCCCCCCACCCCCCAGTGTATGGTTCGAAGCGAATAAATAATTTTTTTTTTTTTAAATTCGGATATTCCCACCTCCCCTCCCCATATAGCCTTAAGAGGCTGTTAGCGAGCACCTATTGGTACCGGCACGGTGGGTGGCCCGGTTGCGCACGGTTACAAACGACCGCACCAGATACCCATTTGAGTCTGAGTCGACCTCGGGGAGGCCCACGAGCGGTTTAAAATTATTCCCCCCCCCCCCCCCCGCCACTGTTATTGGTCGTGAGCGGGAATGTCGGGCTCGGGTCGGCGGGTTCACAGCGCAGTGAACAAACCCGTGGCGGCCGCGCCACAGCTGCACCCCGACGTGGATATGAAGCGGAAAGGCGCCTTTTGATTCATACATGTTGAGCTGTCTGTTCCTCGCAGGAACACACGAAAAAAACCACAAGAATAATAAATAAAACCTCGTTGGCAGGTGTGATTTAAGGAAAACATAAAAAGAAAGAAGAGAAATAAATATGACGTTGTGATGCATCGTGATGGCTTCTCCACGGTGTATCTTCACACAGAAACAACATCGGAACAAAGATTGCATCTTCAAAATTATTAAAATAAAATAAAATTGAGCCAACTCAATTTTGCATATGCTCCAAGTCACGTGCGTCTTGTTTATTATTTTGTTTTTAATGTTATTGCAAACAAGTTTTTATTTAAACAAATAATTTTGAAGTTATGTATACCCATGCATTCCTGGCTAAATGGGATATTTAATCTCAATTGGCCTTACCTGGTTAAATAAAGGACAGTGAACAAATTAACAATATATGCTTATCAGGGTTGTAAATATGCATGGACACATCAATATTATCAGTTATTAAGCTCACGCTCCGTGCCTCTCAACGCATGCATTATAATAACAATTTTCAACGCGTACATGCCGTATGTAATTAGTTCCCCGTGACCCTCTGCAGCCACTGGAGGCCGCTGCATTCGCAATTTGTGTTTACATAAATTATTGCTTTGAATGGAATCGCGAACCTCGATGGCGAAAAATCCATTAAACAATGGGGCAAATTGTCGCATCCATAGCGTCGTCTATTGCGTCGTTACGATCGGCTGTTTTGCTGCTCTTGTGTTTTGCTACCTTAACCAATCTTGACAAATTAATTGATTTAAAAAAAAATGTCCCTTGCGTGGGTCAGACGAGTTGCTGTTGCAACTCGTCTGACCCACCCCCACTGGACATCTGTAAAAAAAATAACCCGTAAAAACAAAGTTTTCACTATAAATCCTTTATATGCGTGGCGGCTAGAGTCCTCTCGTCCTCTGGCTTGAGATGGCTGCCACCTATGGGTCAGATGATTGCCTGCCACCATTAAGCAATTGGTAATTAAATATAAAAAAAATTCTTAAAAAGTGTAAAAAAAATGTTCACGAAAATAAATTATCACGCACAACGAGTCTGTGTGCAAAATGTCAGCTCGATTGGATCACGGGAAGTGGGTTAAAAAACGACCGAAAGATTTGCACGGTCGTAAGCGCGCAAGCAAGCAAGCAAGCGAACTTAATATAAAGGATTTAAAAAGAGCTTCATAGCTCATCGGATTCCTCCTCCATTCCAAATGAAAATTCTGATGCTGCTCATGCGCTCCATTTCCATGATGTTCGTCTCCTCCCTTGTCAATTCACTCCCCTGACCCCCCCGGTTAGGTAACGGCCGACCTGGCGAGCTGCAAGCTGGGCGTGCAGGATGCTCATCTGCACCGACTGCCCCTGAACACCGTGTCCGTGGTGAACGGCGTGCGAGTCGTCCTGCTCGACGCCAACCAGTGAGCGAGCCCCCCGCGGTCGAACAACCTCATTACCTTTCGATTTAAAGTTTTCGTGACTGCAGGGATTCATCTTCTTGGTTCTTTCGGTAAAGTCACGTAGAAGGGAAATAATAAAATAATAAAAATAAAACATAATAAAATAATTCTCACGACGTTTCGGCCACAACGCAAGCAGCCGTCCTCAGGTGAAGACATTCAGACGCTGTCTCCCCGACAGACCTGGTTTTCACCTGAGGACGGCTGTTTGCGTTGTGGCCGAAACGTCGTGAGAATTATTTTATTATGTTTTACTTTTATTATTTTCTTACTTCCCTTCTACGTGACTTTACCGAAAGAACCAAGAAGATGAACCTCATTACCCGTGAGGGTTTAGAACAAACGGGTTGGCAACCTGCGGCTCTTTAAGCGACTGCTTCGTGGCTTCCGACGCTATAATTGCAAAGTTAAAAAAAAAATTCCTAGTTATTTTCGATCAACGGTTAACGTCTAAAAGCCCCAAAATCATTTGAAATGCGGCATTACAAGTCGCTGTGCGTGTGCTGTTCTTAAAACAGGCATTACGTAAGCAATGGTTTGACGTTATTCATTAAGGACCGTCTTGTATCCACGTGCATTGCGAAATATTTTTTTACCGAATTCGAAAAAAACGTTTTTCTTCTTTTGGTTGCCCAACCCCTGGTTTAGAACCACCAGGGGTGCGACGCCTAACGGCCCATGGGCCAGATTATTGGCCAAAAGCTTTGGCTCTCTGATCGATGGGGGTGTTTTTTGGGTTGTTACGTAAGTATGTATGTCAAACTTCTTTCGCACTGTACGTAGCCAACCGTGCCAATTATGGCACCCCAACGTTTCGCCAGCAGTGGCGTGAGAAAGTAATCGCGGGGCTTGCACCCCTCCCCCCTCGCTCAGGGGTCGGCGACTCTTCAAGGACTGCCTCGTGACGTTATTTATTAAGGACCCACCGTCTCGAATTCACCACAGAGCATTGCGGCTCTTGAAATGCTGAGTTTTTTTTACCGAATTCGAACCAAAAATGACTCTTCTTGTTGTTTCGGTTTGCCGACCCCTGCCCGAGCTGATTGACGTGTCTCCACGTGCGCGCGTGTCCACAGTTGTGCCGGAGCGTCTATGTTCCTGTTCATGGTGCCCGACGGCAGGACAATCCTCTACACCGGACACTTCCGTGCGAGCGCTGCCATGGAGAGGAACCTGCAACTCGCCGCTCGCCGCGTCGATGTTTGCTACATGGACACCACGTGAGCGCGTGCTTGCCCGCCTGTGCAGTTGCCCGACTCGAGTGCTTGCGGACGCTGTTGTTGGCAAAGCGGCGGCTACGTTCGGGCAATGGCCTGCAACGTTATCCTTGTGGGCTCACACGCTGCCCTGTTGTCGAGCTAACGGTGTGATAAGCCAGATAGCGTGTCATATCACAATGGGTCATGTGGACCGACTCTCCGCCCTTCGCCAACCCGCATTGACCAGCGTGGTGAAGTATGGTCAAATAACCCCATGAATTATGAGGCGTGGAGAGGCCTTAACCCATTGGCGGATTGACAAAAGTAAGCATCAAATACTTGTATTTTTCCAGTAGCAATGAAGCAACTGGAAAAGACTCGTCTGGCATTTGCGTATCGGTGGCACGTGGAGGATGTCAAAAATCTCATGGAAGGATGGGTTAAGGTGTAGAAAGATATAGGTGGAAAGCGAGTGCTTGTGGGTGTAATCAGGAAGAGAAGGTTGCCATGGGCGCTGGGTAGGAAGGAGGAGGGCAGGTGACCGGGACATGCAATGGAGTGGAGCCCAGAAGTCCGCGACCAAAGGGAAGACCAAAACACAGGAGGTGGAACCTTGAATGTCGACTGCCAACTTTGCAGCAACTGTGGGACCGAGCGGTGGAGAGGAAGCAACGTTGATGTGTGGTGGCATCAACAGCAGTGGCTATAATGACCTTGCTATACTTCGGGAGTTGGCATCCGAAGCGGTGACTAAAAACAGGGACACTTAAAGCGTCGGAGTTGTTGGCTTCAAACAGGCCTCTCACTCCCCATTTGCCCAAATCTTCCCGGTCGTCCCTGTCCAACGTGGAGCTGGCAGACACGCGGGCGAGTCTTTCGCCAGGACAGACAATCCCCTTGGTGAAAAGATCCCCTTGGAGAAATCTGATCAGCTATGAAGCTCTTTTTCAGATTACGGGGATTGGGGGGGGGAGAAAGAACAGGTCACAACCACCAGTCCTCTCTACTCCACCCCAGCTTGTAACGTTGAGGTGTTGTTGAATCAGACAATAAATGGAATGCTTGCTTTATAAGAAAAACACAATATATCGGCCCTATTTAAATAGCTTAACATTCCGTGACTGATCTCCCAACCCCTCCCTCTGGGAAGTTTCTACACCCCCGCCTCTATGCTGAACGTAGAAGCTCTTTCCATTTTACTTGCCAAAGCACCAATCCACATCCATGTGCAGTGGCTACTCAACTTATATCGACAGCATAGACATAAACCAAATCAGCCGCAACGTATCCGATCTCAGCAGAAGCTAAGCAGAGTTGAGCCTGGAAAGTGTATGGATGAGTGCGTACAACGGGTGTGTAGGCTGCTGGCAGGGGCGACATCGTTAGCGGGATGCGGTGCAGAAAAATCCATCGTACGCCCCAACGCTCTCCGGCCCCATTGACCCGGCGTGCTCAAGTGTGGTCGAATAACCCACGGCCCTCATCCAGCAGTGGATTTCATTTTGTGCCCGCCCACCAAAGTCAAATGTACTTCCAGTGGCGGGTGCATGTCGCAGCAGTCGCGGCTCTCTCGCTTTTGTGGAGCACCGCCGCGTGGTTCCGGGTCGTTTCTCCACCGACCTGCCCACCTTGACCTGCCGACTTGGGTGCAGCGGATCGACAATAGAGGCGCTGCACAAACGTGCACAAGGGGCACCGCAGGAGCCACGTTTGTGGGGATGTCTCGCTCGCCCCGGTTCCGCTAGGTGACGCTCCGTCAGTCGAGGTTTTTATGGCTCGTCTGAAAACGAATTTATTTTCTCTTGCGTATATATCCGTCTGTGCAGGCGTTGCTCACCTCTTGGTTTTCACGTTAGGTTTTTTTTTTTTTTTACCGGGATTGTGTTGTAAAGCGCTGTGTGAGGCCCTGCGTGACTGGCGCTATATAAAACTGTGAGTTTCACTCACTCACACGCTACAGCAATTTTACTAGAGCAGTTACACCTGATGACGGAGGCTTGTGTTGCTTCCGAAACGTCGTGAGTTAATTTATTTAAATTTTTTCGCTACGTGACTTTACCGAAAAAAACAAAGAGTATGAATCCTTGCAGTCACGAAAACGTCAAATCTAGAATAAAATTTGTAATGTATCGCATTGTTGTTGCATCGGGTCCCCATTACTTTGGGTGAGCCCGGTGATAACCTCTGAACCCAATCGCCCGCGGGGCAGGTGCTTGCACCTGGAGAAGGAGCCGCCGGCACGAGAGGACGTCCTGCGCTTTGCGACGCGTCTGGCCTCCAGCGCGGTGGCCCGGAACCCGCGCACGATGCTCGCCTGCGGCTACCGCGCGCCGGGCGACGAGAAGCTCTGTCTGGGTGAGGCCTCTGTGTGGGTGAGGCCTCTGTCTGGGTGATGGGTGACGTCGCTGTCTGGGTGAGGTCTCTGTCTGGGTGATGGGTGACGTCGCTGTCTGAGTGAGGCCTCTGTCTGGGTGATGGGTGAGGTCGCTGTCTGGGTAAGGCCTCTGTCTGGGTGATGGGTGAGGTCGCTGTCTGGGTGATGGGTGAGGTCGCTGTCTGGGTGAGGCCTCTGTCTGGGTGATGGGTGAGGTCACTGTCTGGGTGAGGCCTCTGTCTGGGTGATGGGTGAGGTCACTGTCTGGGTGAGGCCTCTGTCTGGGTGATGGGTGAGGTCGCTGTCTGGGTGAGGTCTCTGTCTGGGTGATGGGTGACGTCGCTGTCTGAGTGAGGCCTCTGTCTGGGTGATGGGTGACGTCGCTGTCTGGGTGAGGCCTCTGTCTGGGTGATGGGTGACGTCGCTGTCTGGGTGATGGGTGAGGTCGCTGTCTGGGTGAGGCCTCTGTCTGGGTGATGGGTGAGGCCTCTGTCTGGGTGATGGGTGACGTCGCTGTCTGGGTGATGGGTGAGGTCGCTGTCTGGGTGAGGCCTCTGTCTGGGTGATGGGTGAGGCCTCTGTCTGGGTGATGGGTGACGTCGCTGTCTGGGTGAGGCCTCTGTCTGGGTGATGGGTGACGTCGTTGTGCCCATTGAGTAATTTAACAGCAACATAGATTAATAAAGCATTTAAACTTTTATAAACATTAACACAAAAAATCCCATAATTGTCTGGGGCCTTCAATGAAAAATGTGCTTTTGATCCATCAGGTTTTTAGCTTTCCAAACCAATAATTTCACGTTGTTAAGCAGAATTTGTTTAAGCAAGCAAACTCTGGACCAGTTTCAACATTCTGAGTATCATCAGCTGTCAGGCGTGTTAAATATATACTGCCGGTTTACCAGATGTTATTGACAATAGTACGTATTCCATAACGTACTAACTTGCACATTCACCTCAATTAACCCTCCCCCAAACAGTTTTCGCTTAGAAGTTCGCAAAGTTTCAGTCAACATTGACGCCGCTGCCAAATGAAGTCTCGCAGCCGCTCCGCTGTCGTTGACGCCAATTCCTCCTCCCCGCCCTCGGGGGCAGCGTTGGCCGAGGCCGTGGGCTGCCGAGCGGCCATGGCGATGGAAAACTACGACACGTTGCAGCTGCTGGGCACGGGGCGAGCGCGGGATCTCGTCACCCTGGACTGGCACGCCACGCGCCTCCACGCGCTCTCCATCACTAAGCTCAGCTTCAAGGTCCGTCATCACCCCCCACCCCTCATCCACCCCAACCCCCTCTCATGCCCCCCAATCCTCCCCTCCCACCACCCCCCAAAACCCTTTTCTCTCCCCACCGCCCCCCCCCCCATAATAAAAACCCCCAATGGTCAGCATCGTCCAAAACGAGTCACTATTCATCCCCCGGGTAAAGATCTTGTGGCGTGTTTCAATATCGTTTTTTTTTTGGAGTGTTGGCGGGGTTGCGGGTAAATGGAACCGGGCTGCAGGAAAATTGTTACATGAACTCAAATAATTATGGAATGAGAAAAAAGGGCCCTTCAAGAGTTGTCGTTGATTTATTTTGTCCGTACATTAACGCGAGCGCCGCGCTCAAACTTAACAACTTTCTTCCCGTCTCTCGAAACAAGTTTTCATGAAACCAACTCGTGAGCAACAAAAAAACTAAACCGGTTGGGTTTAAAAAAAAAAAATTTTAACGGAGCCAAACGAAATCGCGGCGTTCAAAACACTCGAATCACGGCGCCTATTTCGGCAACGCTGTTTACTTTGAAACCGTTACACAACGAGCGCTGTGCTTTTGGTTGGGATCCAGTCACGGGGACTTTGCTTCTCGTCCGCTCTAATCAATCAACTCGCTGCACACACGAGGAGTTAAGAAAACGTGAGAATGTTTAACCGGGCTACATTTCTCGAATACTGTAATTTTCGCAACCGCCGCAGACACAATCGAGCGTTCAAACACCGAACTGAAAAGCCAACGCCGCCCTCTGAAGCAACCGTTCTAATTTTACCCTCTGGACACTTTGTTTTTATTTAATGAATTAACATTCGATACGCTCGAGACCCATTAGCCAATTCTACGAGTCAACCGCCGCGTGTTGTGCCACACTATTAGGTTACCCACCGGGCAGCCTGGCATGAGTTACAGGTCGCTTGCGCTGTGAATTGGCGCAAAAAAAACGGTAAGAGGGCATGTTATACACATGCTGCGCTCTGAGTCAAGCGCGTGTGTACTGTCAACCTCATGGATCTTAGCACGAACATTGCTACGCCTGGTACATCCCAAATGAATTACCTCCACTCAGTTGAAACATAACTTGGGTTGGGTGGATCCGCCGATGTTTCAATTTCACCCGCATGAATGTCCTCTTTCAAAAGAATGTTTCATGAGTTAAGTCACACGGGGAGAATTTGCCCAAATCCCAGGGCCTTCTCGCCTTATTGAATTGTAGCGGTATTCTCGCCGGTTCATCCTGGTCAACACGATACGTTTTAATTTGTAAGACCGGCAATAGACGTTCAATTTAAAATATATACATGTATGTAGAAGGAACACAATCTCAGCTAAACATCTCATACGGAAGTCTGCACATGTTAAAGTACAGTAATTTCAACACCAGAATCTTTATTTAGACTGCTGGAGGAATCCGATTATATGAAGCAATTTTTCACAGATTTCCAGAAGGGGCAGGTTAGCAAGTTACAACAATGCCAAAAAACCATAGCAGTACCAAATACTTGATAACACCACGCTGGGTTTTAAACTTCCATAGTTACTTCACGATGAACACAAGACAAGACCATGGTGATGTAAGGACAGGTTTTTTTTTTTTTACCAACGCTTCTCGTGAGAGCCTCCGTTGCACGCTACGTCACCCTAACTCAGCGTTCTTCATTGCAAGGCCCACGGTCTACTGGCAGGCCTTTGGTGCGGCCCTACAACAAGACACGAATGTGAAAACACCCCGTGAAAGCGGTGTGGCGGAATCCACGCTGATGTCTCATCGGCGAAAGTGGTCCCTTCTGAAAATTCGCGAATAACACTGCTCTAAATCGAGTGGCCCATGGGTTGTGAACTTTGAAGAGTGGCACCCAAGTGCCAAGGGGTAACGGCTCCTTCTCTCCTTCTCAGGGGCTGAGCGCCCACTTGCGGAGATTCTCTGCCCAGTACGACTACCTCCTCGCCTTCAAACCCGTGGCGCAGTGGGACTTCACAGGACACTCTCGCCTCTCCGACATCCAGCCGCACATCTCACAGAACGTCATCATCTACGGTTAGACGATTGCGTAGTTTAGAGAGTTTAATTCATGGGTTCCCATGCCAATACACTAATCGTTTTTTTTTATCCTTTATATTAAGTTCACTTACTTGCTTGCGCGCTTACGACCGTGCAAATCTTTCGGTCGTTTTTTAACCCACTTCCCGTGATCCAATCGAGCTGACATTTTGCAGACTCGTTGTGCGTGACAATTTATTTTCGTGAAATTTTTTTTCCAACATTTTACACTTTTTAGGAAAAAAAATTATATTAAATTACCAATTGCTTAATGGTGGCAAGCAATCATCTGACCCATAGGTGGCAGCCATCTCAAGCCAGAGGACGAGAGGACTCTAGCCGCCACGCATATAAAGGATTTATAGTGAAAAACTGTTTTTATGGGTTAATTTTTTCTTCTTCAAAATGATCTCGTTTTTCAGCTTCCTGAAAAACGAGATCATTTTGTTTTGCCTACGTGCTAAACATGTTTCACCACCTTGCAATCTTCACGGGCACATGCCGATGTTCGTTAAGGGTGTTTTTCCCCCCACAAATCAACTGTGAATACACCCGACAGTGCAATGCGACTGCGTCTTCAAAACAATTTAATTACGACCCACCGTCAAAACACTTTTGTATGCAAGCCTCCCCGCGTCGTGAAGATTACGAGGTGTGCGTTTTGATCATACCTCACCAAGCTGGTCAGTGCGGGTTGATGAAAATGGGGTGCCCAGGACCACTCGATATTAACACCATGGCCAAGAATACAACTCAGGCCATCGGGTTTGTGGAGCAGCGTGTGAAATAAAACACTCCTCCTCTGCATTAACCACACGTACTCGTGGTAAAACGTGCAAACATGCTCCGACAGTGTACGCATTGTCTTTGAAACTGATTGGCCAACACCAGAAACAGCCTTGTATCGCCAGTGTCTACATGTATCGAGATATAACAGCTACAAGTGCTCCAATGTGAGGCATTGTCTTTGTACCGTTCGCCTTTTGGCGTTCTCTGGTGAGACATGGCTATGAAGAAGGCTGTCTCTGGTGTAGACCAGTTTCAAAGACAATGCCATATTTTTTCATGTTTTGCCACGTGTAGTTAATGCAGGCTTCATTCCTTGCAAAAGTTGTTTCAATTTGGTGTTTGAACAGCTTTACACCTCCTGTTTTATTGCCAGAAAGGGTAAAAACCCGTTATTATTTTTCATTCTTTTTGATACTGGCAAAAGATCCCATAAAGATACTTCTCCTCCTCTGCCCCGTCACCCCAACCCACCCCGTGGCGTCCACCGCACACACTCAGGCGTGCCCTTCGTGGACCACAGCAGCCGCTCGGAGCTCAAGAGGTTCGTCCAATGGCTGAGGCCACGGAGCCTGGTCCCCGTGGCACCGGCTACGACCCGCAGGAGCGCGGCCGCCTCGGAGGGCATCCTGCGAAAGTGGCTCTCCGACATCGGAACGTTTCCCGTTCGCCCGACATCGAACCCCTGAGAGGAGACGGCGGTCTGCGAGACAAGGCGCTCTCTCGCTTTGTTTTGTGCTTGTTTCTGCATCTTTCCGGCTTTCGATTTGAATTGTTTTGTTTGAGATGGTCACACTCACACGCACTGGCCGAATTACTTTTGTGGTGCTTAACGACGACAAAAAACTTGGGTAAGAGTGGGCCCCAGTAGCGGGCATCAGTTGTGAATGATGTAATTGCACGTTCAGTTTAATAAGGAATCAAAATGTCAAATTAGGTTTTCACGCCACTTCACACTTGCCGTAGAGAAAAACGTCAATCTCACGTCTATTTAGTTGACAAAAATGCTCGCTGCAAATAAAATGTTTAACAAATCACCTGTTGACATCAGCTTTCGAGACAACTATAATGATGATTTATAAATTAATAAAGTGTCCAAACACAAAGCCATCTCCAGCTTTCGGTACCAAGACACTACATAATAAAACAGAGTAAAGGGCAAACTAATTAAATTAAATGCAAATAAGAAAATCAAAACAGGGGAATGAGTAAATTGAGCCAGTGGCATGACAGGCCGTGGCCAGGCTGACACAACCACCGCAATGGTAATTGCATTGAATTATGAAATGGTAGATTAATGCAGCAAGGGGTCATGGTTTGTATGCAGGATGGAGGCGAGTCAACTGGGAAAGATCATTATTTGGGCACTAGTCGACGAGAGGAAGAGGGTCCCCTACGTCTGGACCTACACCGAGGGTGAGAGAATGAGCGGTGAGAACAGCCAAGGGGAGAGAATTCCAGACGGCAGTGACACAAAACGAGAAGTGGCCTCTCAAGTTTGGGGAGTTGATTTTGTGTTTCACGAAGACGACAAGGCTACTCACAGCATCGATATTTTTTTCGCGTGGGATCGATACGATTAAATAGCAGCGAGCAATGGCAGGATGCGGTTCTTTTGAAAAAAGGGAGTCTGATCACGGAATTGCAACGTAACAATGTGCCTAAATAAGAACGCACTTGACATGTATCAATAACATTTTGACAAAAGGAAACGTCTGGAGCTCACAAAGGACGGCTAGGGATGTACGCAAAGGATCACATTCATCGGCGGAACGCATTGACTTTACCCAAAGATTCATACTCTTAGTTTTTTCTGTAAAGTCACGTAGGTAAAAAAATGAAATTAATAAAAAATAATAAAAATCACGTTTCGGAGGCAACACTTGATACAGCAAATCTGGCTGTGACGGTCCCACCTGATGACGGAGACTTGTGTTGCCTCCGAAACGTCGTGATTTTTATTATTTTATTAATTTCAATTTCATGTTTTTACCTACGTGACTTTACCGAAAAAACTTTGAGTATGAATCCTTGCAGTCACGAAAGCTTCAAATCTAGAATTTACCCAAAGAACCAAGAATATGAACACAAATCACTCGCCGTACTAAAAGGGGCATGGGGCAGGCCAAACTGCTAGAAGGGGAGAGGGGAGAGAGAGAAGACTGCGGATGGAATGGTGGCCAAAGGAGAGAACACACCTGGAAGGAAAACCATCCCAGAGATTAAGCTATGCGAGTGAATGCGATGGATTGTTGCATCGCAGCACTGCGCGACATGCCAACAGCACAGGTAGCCCTTCATCCAACAGTAGCTATAATAAAACCTCTATGTACCTCTTCTTGGTTCTTTCGATAAAGTCGCGTAGAAGGGAAGTAATAAAATAATAAAATAAAACCTAATAAAATAATTCTCACGACGTTTCGGCCACAACGCAAGCAGCCGTCCTCTATGTACCTGCGTGGTGTGTGGTCACATTCAGAGAAGCCAGCACAATGGATTTGTACTTAGCTGCTCGTTACCGGCGTGTGAATGGACCTCAGGTCGCACATTGAGTCCTCAAGCAGGAATGAATGCAGGGCGATCAACAGGTGGTAAGACGATTGTCCACTGCCCGTCCATTGCTCATGTCCAGGGAGGTTGCTACCGCATTGACGACAAATGGAAGCACATTCACATCTGCGACTACAGCACCCTCTAGTGGCAACAACACAAGTGTTTAGCAGCAAAGCACGCCATCAAGACGAAACGCTTGTTGTCTTGAACGTCTTCACGCGATCGCGATGCTGTGTGGGGCAAGCAAGACGGCCCCGTCAGGTTCAATAAATACAAACGCAATTACTTTTATGAACGAGTCAACGCAAATGTTTTTTTTTTTACATTTCTGCTTGACATCGTGCACAACTGTACGGCAGATACACAGGCAGCGGAAACAATGTAAATGGTGATAACACGAGACACATGCAGGTGAAACCTACGATTAAGATTCTAATCTTGACGAAACCGCTTACACACGTCGCCTTGACCATCTGCCGCGTTGTTAGTATGGTCCTTCAACTTTCGGCCGAGATGAAACAATAACTGGGATATTTTGATTTAAAGCTTTCGTGACTGCAGGGATTCATATTCTTGGTTCTGTCGGTAAAGTCACGTAGAAGGGAAATAATAAAATAATAAAAATATTCAACAATAAAAATTCTCACGACGCAGTCGAAACGTCGTAAGAATTTTTCAATTTAAAGCTTTCGTGACTGCAGGGATTCATCTTCTTGGTTCTTTCGGTAAAGTCACGTAGAAGGGAAATAATAAAATAATAAAACATAATAAAACAATTCTCACGACGTTTCGGCCACAACGCAAGCAGCCGTCCTCAGGTGAAAACCAGGTCTGTCGAGGCGACAGCGTCTGCATAATGCACGGGCATGAGTAGTACTAATCACATACCTGCATTTCCCATAAATATGCTAAATGCCTCTTGATATGCATATTCTTTTGTCAAGGCGCTCTTTTCCCCCCTTCCAACCCAGCTTATATATATGCTCCAAGCACGTGTGCTGTTTCATTCAGACGCTGTCGCCTCGACAGACCTGGTTTTCACCTGAGACGGCTGCTTGCGTTGTGGCCGAAACGTCGTGAGAATTGTTTTGTTCTATTTTTATTATTTTATTACTTCCCTTCTACATGACTTTACCGAAAGAACCAAGAAGAGGGGTCGTAAGAATTTGTATTGTTTTACATTTTTATTATTTTATTATTTCCCTTCTACGGGACTTTACCGAAAGAACCAAGAATATAATAACTGGGATATTAAACACTTGCACACAAACTCATTTGCCGAATCCTGGTTTGGTAAGAATAGTCACCAAATAAGAATTTTTTCCCATCCTGTTAACGATCGACAACAATCACTACTCATGGGCCTCCTCCTCCAAGGATCGTTGGATGAGCTTGACGACGCGTTCAAGTTTCCTCTTCGCTTCCATCAGCGGCTCCAACATCTTCACGGCCTCCGTCACCTCGGTCAGAATCTCGGACAGGACCCCTTGAAGTAGGACCGGCTGGCACGGAAGGTTACAAACGCAGGTCGAAGGGTCATGCACAGAAATAACTTAAGGAAAATGTAAGGAAAATGTTACCCGTAAAATAAAAGTTCAAACGCAGTTAAAGCGTACAAATTTAGATGGAAATTGTGAAAATTAAGCAACAATTATCAAACTGTTATGTGCGGTCGGTCAAGTGAATAGTCACGCCAGGTCAAAGCATCCACATTGTCTAAGCCTCACCGGGTCATTAACGACAAATCCCTCAGGGACGGCCGGGGCTTCAACCGAGGGATCGTCCGCAGCTCTCGATTCACCCAAAGCCAGCGCCACCTCCGCACCTACGGGATGCACTACCGTCGCATTAATCGCAACGCGCGACGACACACTTCAATTCACGAACAATCATCCGGACGTGATGCAAACACGGAATGGCTCGGCGCACGCAAGGGCACCTTCAGCGACGGCGCCGGGATGTTGCCGGTCGCATGCATCGGTGGGCGGAACACCGGGGAGACGATCGTCCAGCGTCGCGATTGCCTCGACCGAGCTGCCGTCGCTGACGGAGTTCGACCCGCACCGGACGCCGCACACCCGGACCGTGGGCTCTCGATCCTCCGGCAGGTCGCCAGGCCCTTCCGCCAGCACGGCCAGACCCATGAGCGCCAGCTGGTGCGCCACAGACTTGTGTGCGTCAGGCGCCGCCTGGCTCGAGTCCTCCTGCTGCGCCGTCATGTCCTGCAGGTCCACAGGGACCGCGTCTCCGGCCCGCGGTGCCATCACAGTGGCACGCAGGCACCGGTCGGACACGAGGTTGAGCAGCGCCTCCGTGGACTCCGGCGACCAAGAGTCAGAGTCGACGGGCAGCACGCCTCCACGCACAAAGACGGGTAAATGTATCGAGATGAAAACATCAGGTTAGACGGACTACTTTGGTAAGTTTTTCCTTCTCCCGCACCTCCTATTAGCACGGTTGGCTACGTACGGTGCGAAAGAAGCTCACACACATTCATTGTTGTGCCACTTCGAGCTCCTTTTTGCTCCGGACAAACATTTCCTAATGCGTTTTGAGAATTACCACATTCAAGCGCTCGACACATTTAAATCCCGAATCGTTTAGGCGCTGTAAATATTAAGCAAGGTCTTTGGTGCAAAATAAATCAGATGAACAAGCAATATTTACACACTACACCAGGTACTCATTTGAAGCCGAGTCGACCTAGGGGAAGCGCAGGACCGGTTCAGATAATCGCCACACAAGCAAGTACGCGCACGCGTGTGCGTGCACGCGCGTGTGTGTGTACTTTCTGGCGTTCTGTGGCGGTGCCCACCCGCCAGGCTGCAGCGGAAGGCCATGAAGGGGCAGCGCAGCAGGTGGCCGTCCCCGTCGAGAGGCCTCAGGTCCTGCACCCCCACCTCCTCGCTGTTGCCGAAGTCGGGGTACTCGACGCGCACGAGCTCCCCGTCGCAGGCCAGCACGCGTGCACGGTACCAGCTCCCGTTGCCTGAGGGGCACGGACGTCGGCGAGCATTCACAAAGACAACCGAGTAAACGGAACGGTCGGATGATGTGAACAACAGAGAGATGAGTATGCGGGGGGGAGGGGGTTGGTTGGTTGGTCGTTCCAGCGAGGGAGCTAGCAAGGTGGACAGACGCTTGAGTGGGCGAGGAAGCGTCCGGTCAAATGATCGAGCAAGCGAGAGAGCGGTCAGTAAAAAGACAGAAACGGGTGAGTGTATGAATAGTGCCGTCAGACGTTTGAGTGAGCCATCAAGCAGTCAGACACTGGAGCGAGTGTGCGGTCGGTTAGACACTCGAGCGAGCCGGAGAGCGTGCGGTCACTCAAGTGAGCAAGAGAGCAAGCAAACGGTCATTCAGACGTTTGGGGCGAGCCGTCAATTCAGTGATTGGTCACGTGAGGCCAAAGTTCCACATTGCCGAGCCTCACTGGGTCGTTGTGGACCACGAGAGACGTTTGAGTGAGCGCAGTCGAGGAGTAGCTCGGATTTTTTTGAGCAATCGAGTGAACGATCCAGTCAGCTGTTTGAGCGAACGTGCGAGTGGTGAAGAGGTGGCAGTGTGAGGCAGCGGCGCTTACTGCTGTAGCGCGCGCAGCACAGCTGCCCCGGCTTGGGCAGGAAGTCCGGCTGTGGCTTCGTGCGGTCGCAATACGAGGCCACCTCCACCAGCACCTCCTGGAGAGCCTGGATTTCTGCGCCACCACATACGTCGGGGAAGGCCCCCCACACGGCGGAGATGAAACGTTCATCCTCTCGGGGTTTAGTTGCCGGGGTCGTACAACGCGTCAGCGTTGATGTAAAATTAAAGATCGTGCTTGGATGCTCCACGTGTAATCGTGCATTCCTCTCATTTGTCGGTATTCTCCAAGTACTCAGATTGCCTCTAGGCACCTCTTTTCTCTTATACACGTGAGCCAGGCTCTGTTCCGGGGTAGTTCACAAGGGTCAGGGACTGCACGGTCGGTCAATGAGCCACTCACCACTGTCGACAAGCCGGATGCAATAGAAGTGACCAGGGTGCTGTACGTCCGTGACCGTGACAGAGAACTGGACCCCTACGGGAAACTCCATGATGCCTGCAAAGGTGGGGGAGCAGGCGAATGAACGGGTGGGCGAGAGGGTGGGCGAGAGGGTGGGTGAGAGGGTGGGGTGAGAGGGTGGGTAAGAGGGTGGGCGAGAGGGTGGGCGAGAGGGTGGGGTGAGAGGGTGGGGTGAGAGAGTGGGCGAGAGGGTGGGTGAGAGGGTGGGCAAGAGGGTGGGCGAGAGGGTGGGCAAGAGGGTGGGCGAGCCGCTTCTGTGAAGGGAGGGAAGAGAAATTTACAAGAGCTTGTTTTGTGCAAAAGCACAAACTTTTATCGCTGCCAGCTTTGGCGGCACCCTGGCACTGTCTCGCGACCGCAAAATCCGAATGTTTCCCTAATCGCCACTTGTCAGCTGTCATCTAAAGACAGAAACTGAAAAGTGTGAAACGATGGAGAGATTCATCCTTAGAATTACAATGAGACGCGGAGGAGGAATACGTGAATTAAAGAACATACGCCTGCTAAGAGGTATACCGATTGTTGAGAAAAGTAAGCAGGCGTGGGGCAGGACATTTCACGAGTAAGGATGATGGCCGGGTAGTGAAGACTTCACGATAAGAGTGGCAGCGAAGAGGGAACAAGCCATGGAGACGGCACAGTCAAATTATTTCATGTGCAAGAGGACTCGAAGAGATGCCGATGGCCTGGGGAGGCCTTCATCGGTGGATTGATAATGACTGATGATGGCGAATGTGAAAACTCACCACATGGAAGACCTGGGGTTAATATTAAATTAATTGTGAAGGAACACAAGTGCATACACACCACTTAGAAGCGTGGCTGGACAGGTGGCCCTACTAACACTAAACAGCAGCAGTGACATCAGTAACTCCTCCACTGTTAGCACTGCATCATGTGGACAAGGAACTCAGGATGAATGCTCAGGCATGGGAGTCAATTCTAATTACAATTACAGCGTTATTCGTTTGCTCAAGTAACAATCGCAATCATGTTGCGATTAGAATTCCTGACGAATTACAAATACAAGCCACGATCGGACTCCAGTTCAGCGAAGAGGAACTCAGTTTAACACGTAGGCTTTCGCGACCAATATTACTCAAATCGTTGCACCTGATGAGTTGATGAGTTAATGATGATGTCACTCTGCTGCTGCTCTATATAAGAACGGGAGACAGAGCAGAGCCTCACCATTCTGGCGAATTGCCCGATGATGCTGGATGCAATTACCAGCGAAACGTCGTACTCAAAAATTGTAAATGTTGTGGTTTCACGCTTCAACACACCGGTGGGCTAAAGCAGTGAACTATTTGTCTTTTGTCAACGTGACTCTTTTGTACCGATTGGCCGTGTCGGGTGGTGGAGGGTTACGACACATTTGCAAATAACACGATCTAAACCCAAAAACGTTGATTATGAAGAGGAACTCACAATGAGCAGCAGACGGAGGCGGCGAGATTTCGTCGGGCGCCGCGAGCGCAGCCACCCCGTGCCTGACGAGCAACTCGGAGAAGTCGCACACGGGGTCCTCCGCGAGCCCGAGTTTCACCTCGAGCGTCGACGTGCGCGCGTCGCGCGCCACCACGCGGGCGCGCAGGATCTCGCCGCTCACCAGCCCCACCAGCAGCCCCGTCGCCTCCACGCTCCACGCGTCGCACACCGGCCGGATGCCTGCACGGTTATACAAACACGTGTGTGTATGAAGATAAAGACCCCCCGTGTAGCCTTAACAGACTGTAGGGGCAAGTGCCGTTAGCGAGCACCTATGAAGGCCGGAACGGTACACGAGTGGGTGGGTGGCCAGCACCACGCCCGACCGCCTTTGTCTCCCCAGTGGCAATGTTTACACACCGCACCAGGTACTCATTTGAGGCTGAGTCGACCTAGGGGAGGCCCAGGACCGGTTCAGATAATCGTCACTGGTGGTGGCCGTGAGTGTATATATACACACACACACGCGTTCAGTGCAACATCCTCAATCACAATGAGAACCTTTATTTATAGTGGAGGAGAGATCCTATGAGCGATAAAGCTCTTTTTCACAGATGGTCAGTCGGGGCACGGCGTCAGAAAATTACAACGAAAATTACAAAAACACCACAGGAGTGCAAAGAATAGGAAAGGTAAACAAATCGCAAACAACATTTATAGCTTACCAGGTAAAGCCCACTGAGCTATTAGTTAACTTTTCAGAAGCAACCTAGCCACAAATAAAAGCTCAACGAAGTGGCTAATCACATGGAAATGTATAGCAGGCAAATACTCTAAACGCGCGTTTCTTAATGTGGATGGAAAAAAACCAGAGGACTCGGGAGAAAAATCCACGCGACCTCGGGGAGAGATACGTCCGTTACGCGCCGAGTGTCTCTCAATTCCGTGGTCTGTGCAAGACACGCCCCTATTCAGACTTGTCGTCCGATAAAATCTAAAATAAAAAATACTGTTTCTTTACCGATTTATTTCTACTACTTATTTTGCTTATATTGTTCGTTGCGCATGCTTGCACTTTATTTCACTTTGCCCAGTCGGTGTTAGCCGCTGAGGGCGTGACGGGTTTCGTTTCCCTCAATCCCGTTGCTCTACGCCCCCTGTAACCATCCCCGGTCTGCTGTAATGTGCACCGATGCCTACTTTATTGAAGGCGATATTGGCACATAATGATTAATTTATTGACGGATCCATTTACAGGGAAAATTCTAGAGAAAATAAAATCTTGCTTCAAAGCCTCGACATGGTTACCAACAATCTAAATACAATTTATCAAATCATCTTCTCCTCTGTAAGATACTCTCTCCGAATAATGGAAAATCCACATTCCCATGACAAGAACCAGTTCCTCCACTCAGCAATAACTAAATACATTATTCTCTCTTGAAAAAAAAGTATTACGATTCAGTAAGACTTCATGGACAAATATAAAAATACACAATTATTATTATCATCAATGAACACGACATTATTATTGTCATTAAACTGGCACCTGACAGGCAGCACCGCAGGGCTTGGGCGGGCAACTTCAGCAGCGCATGCGGGATGGCCCGCAGGCGGGACACCTTCAGGCACTCGCAGTTGCCAAAGTCCATGTAGCAAACTTTCACCGTGTCCTCGCTTACCACGTCCAGGATCATGGCTCGGTACCACACGTTATCCTCTGGGATGCAACGTTCACGAGCATTGTTACCTCGTCATTGACCCCCTCCCACCCCCGCACACCTCCAGCAATCGTCACAACCCGCCTCGGTAATACGAGGCAGCACATTCAAACCTACGCGTCTCAATCAGCCTCAAGCCTTCCGTAAGTCACGATGACTTAGATGCGGGCACTCGAACTCCGAATCACTCCCCCCCTCTCCCCGCCCCCAGACGCTGCTCCGTGCAGCTCCCATCTGCTTGGTCCTTCCATCTATCTCCCCCTCTCGTCTCCCCTCTCACCCCCCACACAGCTACATTCTATTTTTGACTCGACTCCCCTTCCCGTGGCATGCCACGCACAATGCCTTTCATGCTTAGGCTTACTTTTAAGTGGTAATGCATTTAAACAAACACATTTAATGGGTAACATAGCTATTTAGACTTTTAATTATTGAGCTTTATTTCACAACATGTTTTTTTATAACAGACGAACAATATATAGGAAAAGTATTAATCATCATAAAGCCATATAGGAAAATTATTAATCATCATAAGCCATGATCAATCCAGTGCTGAATCAAGACCTCCACAAGAAGTCGCCATTTCTCAAGGTTCTGCGATGTAACATTCCTTATAGTCGTTTGTTTGTCCTTCCCCCACACCGCAACTGCGATTATCAGGGATGGCTACGTACGGTGCGAAAGAAGTTCAACATACACACATACATCGCGCTATTTGGCGCCACCGGAGGCTGCGATCTTCGCGGACAGTACGTCAAAAGCTACGTGGCAGTGCGTCGCGACCCGCGCTCGCCATGCCGCTACCCAAGTACTGCGCCGAGACGACTTGTCCGACACACGGCGACACCTTGGGAGGCTCCGGCTCGGAGCCGAGGCACGCGACCATCGCCATCACCTTAGCCAGCTCTTCTGGGGGGTGGTGAAACGGAGGGGAGGGAGCAGGAGGTGCCGGCGCAGGACACTTGTTATCGTGCAGACTGAAAAAATAACAGCGTGAGTTTTGTGCCAATGCACCACCTCCGTTGAGCTTTGGTTTCACTTTTGAAATCATTTTTAAGCCCGAAGCCACTGCTGGACGGCTGTCTTCCCACACGGGTTCACCATGTCGACCTTAGTGCGAGTTGGGGCGGGCGCGGGGGTCACGACTGGTTGAGATATCGCTCGCCACCGATGCGTCATAGTGAAATGCGCGAACCACTCCGTCACTGCTCCACGCGTGCCTTGACCTTACCGCCCATTAATGAGCAGCCACAGCCTTTAGACGATGGAGTAATGTGGTCTGCAGTGCGATACCTCAACCCCCCACCCCCCTCCTGGCTTCACATTGCACTCGGCAAAAAAATACACGTAACAATTCATCACGGTACAGGTGTCAAATATATTCAAAATTGGCATGCGGCGTAACCAAATGATTGGAGAGACGTAACATGCCTACCGTACAATACTAATACACCGAGGCTACGCGTCCTACACGGATCTCACCGGCAAACTCCGTGCGCTGGCAGTAGAAGAGGCCCGGATTGACAAGGTCTCCGACCACAACGTTGAAAGACTCTCCCACGCAGGGGAGTCTCGCGGACGCGCCTCTTTCTAGCTCCACGCCGGAGCTAACGTCGGCACCAACCCCGCTCGCCTTCTCGTCCTCACCAACAGCCCCGGTGTCGGCAGTGGGGCCAGCATCCTGGCCTGGGCCGATGCCCTCGAGAGGGGCCGAGGGAGCTGTGGAGGGCGCAACACGGCGCCGCACGTGACGGTGCTCGGTGGTTACCAGGAGGGCTGGAGTCTCGCTACTCCGCTGGCTCAATCGGTGGCTGCTTTCTCTCTCTCTGTGTCAACGGCAGTAGCCGCTCCTTTTGAGAATCAATCATTTTTCGAGTATAGAGTTGTGCTCCTCCATTGGTTGAATCAGAAATAGCTTGTGCCGATGGCTATGAGAGGTAGCCCTTTGAGTGTCAATCATTTATGGGGAAAGTTTAGTTCTATCAAAAATGGTTCAATCAGTAGCAGCTTTTTCTGCTTGGATGGATACCAACAGCATGTTTTTAAATTATTAGTTTGAGATTATTTCTCCCAGTGGGCTGAAATATAAGTATCATAGATCATAAATGCTGTGTTTATGACACTGCCTCAATTGTTGGCAGTGTATATGGACGGCACGATGCTGCTTTGCTGCATTTTCATGGCCAAAAGCGGTAAGAACGAACCCCAGCGAACGTCACCCGCGCAAACTCTATGAGACTTAACGCCGGCATTTGTAGCAAACCACAACGGTCACAGGTTTGCAGTGGCGGTGATGAGCCCAGGAAGACTTGCCAACAATGCAATGTTTTGTACACTTCTGATGTGGGTTCTTTTTTCCAAAAGTTGAGGCCACCGATGCCACTCACAGAACAGACACCTACACAAAAAGTAATCAGAAGTATCCTCACCCGCACTGCAGCTGGTGACGGATTCTGCAACGCAAATCCCTTCCTCCAGCAAAGACTCGCGGAGTGAGCGGCCTGTTGAGTCGAATTTGGACACGGAGCAAAAGAAATGTTAATTAAGTTAGCAGCGCGGTGGGCATGGTGACTCGCCACCTGGGGTCCAGCGCTTCGAGTCATGCATACACACCCGTCAAACCCATACGGTCTACCTGCATTGTTGTACAGGGAAATTGAGTTTTCAGGTCCTTAAGGGCGTACAGCCGTTTCAATACGGGCAAAAAAGTGTCTATTTGTTTGTGTTTCTCCCTTGTGATGGGACTTTGTAGGATGAACGTTAAATTCTATAAGGGCACGGGGTGACCAATAAGGTCTGACTTGGTTTGTAATAAGGTGGCGCACTGATAAAGGCGTTGACAGGTATGTGCAGCATATTTGTCCAACTCCCAAACTCTATGGATCGCGAGGTGGCCCGGAGTTGGTCGTGCAGCAAGCGAGTTTGCGAACCTGTCTGTGTAGACCTTGTGAGTGTTATCTCCTTGTATGGGTTATTTTTTTCCTGATACTCCAGTTTCCTTCCATGCAAAACAAACACTCCTCAAAGAACCTGCGTTCAAATCCAGACTTTGGCCACGTGCGATTAAACCGCAATTCATTGGTGGAAAAGGCCAAACATCCCAACGCAGGACCCTCCTAATAGAGTCCTGAGGCTCAATGAGGCATTTCAAATTACGACAAAAAATCGTGTGCGCAGGCTGCATAGCCGCTTTTGCCTTTCTGAGGGTTGTGACCGAGTGAGCGAGCGAGCTGGTAACCTCGAGGCCCACTCCCCCCCCCCACCACCATCTCTCTCACCGGTGATGGGCATCTCCAGGTCCACCATGTACGTCCTGGTGGCCTCGTCGTACTCCTCCACCCTGAGCACGAGCGTCTGGTTCAGCAGCAACACCCGCAGCTGCAGCACGTCATCGCTCCACCCGCCGGAGCGGGGTCGCACCGCAGTCAGGCTGCACTGCAGCGTCTACAGGAGACAAGGCGCACATACGGGAGCGTATGCTTAAACATGCAGCAAGACGCCTGCACCATGCCCTGTCCCACCGCAGCCTTGCCCTTTTCCGTGTTCTCTCGAGTTTGTATTGTGCTGCTGCGTCCACGAGAGCGCCGGGGGACTTAGGCCACACCCACTCTGCAAGACCACACCCACTCTGCAAGACCACACCCACTCTGCAAGACCACACCCACCGAGCCGCTGACATGTGAACGAGACCTCCAGGTGCGCCAATCGGTACGTAGATGACTCTCTGCAAGTTTTCAAAGTCTCTCCAGGGGGTGTGTGTAATCGGTGTTAACGTGTGTACGTTGCAGGTTGCGAGTGCGAGTGGCGTGTGCGGATCACGTGCACGTGTAGCCCTTGTGTCAATCTAATGCTTGAGGAGAGCCTCCCCTTGCTTTGCATCTCATTGAGTGTTACTTGACCATACTTCGCCATTCCTTTCGGTGCGGGTTGATAAAAAGACTGGCGACACAGACATTGGAGCATAGACGTGATGTACAGCAATGTCTTCTGCTGAACATTGTCATCAAGTGAGTACCACGGTGGCGAGATGTTAATTACCTTGCCCGGTATACACGTCATGGGTATGATCCTGGCCCTGACGCCTATATATTTGGAGTTTGCATGTTCTCCCCGTGCTCAAGTGGACATTTCCCCAAGTCCTCCGGTTTTTCCCCTCTACATTTAGAATCAACATTCGTTTAAGAGTATTTGGCTGCTATAAATTTCCACATAAGCCACTTTTTTGAGCTAGCATTTGTGGCCCGGTCGCATCTGAAAAAGAGCTATGTAGCTCAGTGGGCCTTACCAGGTGAAATTAAAATAGCTTATCTTCTTGGTTCTTTCCGTAAAGTCACGTAGAAGGGAAATAATTAAATAATAAACATGAAAAAACATAAGAAAATACAATTCTCACGACGTTTCGGCCACAATGCAAGCAGCCGTCCTCAGGTGAAGAACAGGTCTGTCGGAAAGACGTCTGAATGAGCACCACCAACCTTGGCAGCTCATTCAGACGCTGTCTTTCCGACAGACCTGTTCTTCACCTGAGAACGGCTGCTTGCGTTGTGGCCGAAACGTCGTGAGAATTGAATTTTATTATGTTTTATTTTTATTATTTTATTATTTCCCTTCTATGTGACTTTACCGAAAGAACCAAGAAGATGAATCCCTGCAGTCACGAAAGCTTTAAATTAAAATAGTTTAGTTTAGTGTAACGAACTCACGAATAGGCCCTCGCTCTCCGGTTAAACAAGGGCTGTCGGTCCGCCGGACTCACGTAGGGAGGGTGTTTGCGGAACTCCTCTGGCGGTGGGCGCACGTTCTCAAAGGCCACCTCCTCCCAGCTGCCATAGTCCAGGAAGTAGGCGAGGATGCACCCACGGGCTTCGTCAACCTCTGACACCACCACACGGTACCACACCTGGCAGCGCGACGCCTCCGATTACCACGACTGGCTATGTACGGTGCGAAAGAAGCTGAACACACAAACGGCACCCGGCTATTCAACCACGAAAAACTTCCCAAAATTGAATGCCTCTGAACATCACAGCACCTCTTGCCCTACCTCGTCCTTCAATACCCAATAACACCTTCATGTAGGTGTGCACGAGCGGCAACAAAATCGAGAAGATATTACGTGCGTCCCGAGTGCATAAGAGGCCTGCTGCAGCGATTCAGAAGCCATCTCCTGCGGCCGTTCAGACTCTACGCACTGGCCCTTTACTTACCGGCTCTCGACAGCAAGTCACAAATTCATATTTCGTCGTCGTCGTCGTGACGGGGACAAACGGATTTCACGGTGGTGCTCGCCATCGGCCCTCCTCACCTGGTCCTGCGAGAAGAGTGCGGCGCACACGTCCCCCTTCCAAGGCCGGTAGCCGGGCCGGGTAGGAGGGCCCCCGACCCCATCGGGGCCCTGGCACAGGGCGAGCAGCTCCCGCAAGCCGGTCTCCGTTCCCGAGGTCAATTGCTGCACGTAGAATCGCCCGGGATTCTGCCACTCCGTCACCATGCACTGGAGACACGTGTTGCGGCACGCGAGACATGCAGCGAGAACGCGGGCTTCAACGAGCGAGCAATGCAAACAGCGTGGTACGATAGCCGGAGGGCAAGTCCTGCCCGCAATGGCCATGTAGCACACAAAAATTACTGAATTGGCTGTGTCGGGTGGTGGCAGGTTTAACAAAATGTATATATCTACGCGATCTAACCCAAGAAACTCGGAGTGGCAGCTGTAGAGGCGTGGCACTGCGAGTGAGAGACAACCAGCACCTGGATGGCTTCTCCGTGCGGGACGAACTGCAGGCCGAGGTCGTCCAACGATATCCCGGGGATGCTCTGCACCGCTGGAGTTGCGGCCGCCATCTGCACCTGCGGGAGGGGGCGGTCGAGCCAGCAGAAAAGCGGTAGCAGCAAAAACTAACAAATATTGTCAGAAATTATGGCAACGTAATGTAGTGTCGCGAGACTGTAAAAGATGGCAAGTGTTTGGGGGGGGGGCTTCATCTAGCAGTGGATAGAACAATGCTGCTGCTGATGATTATTATGATGATGCAGTGTTACTCACGGCTGTTTTGGGCTCCACTTGGGCACCGTATACTTCCGATTTCCCCACCGTACCACTGAAAAGTGAATAATATATAAATGTCTTCATGGCCTTGGCCCACCGTACCTCGCTTCTCTTGTCTCGTTTAATGTCCACTCCCGCCCCGCTCTCAATCTCTCCCACTACTCCTAACCGTTCCCCACTCCTTGTGCACAATCACCGTTTACGCTCCTTTTCCCTACTTGCCCCTTTGCAGTGGAACAAACGTCCCCTCCACATTAAGCGAGCACCCTCCCCGTCTCGTTTCCGCTCCTCCCTCAAGACCCCCACCTCTTCTCCCTGGCTCATCCTTCCCTCCATCCCTAGGTACCACCGTAATTCCCGTACCCACTATCCTGCCTCCCCATACCCCATCCCTATTCACCATATCACGTTAAGCTACCTTCATTGAACCACTCGTAACCTTTGTATCAAGTTATCAAGTTCATGTATTAGGTATAGCCCTGTGAGCCATTCGGGTGCAACCGCAACAAACAAAAAACAAAAACATGAACAAGAAAACATCTTGTAAAAAGCGCCTTGGATAAAAGCGCTCTATAAATGTGAGATATGTACAAGTGGATCACAACTACACAAGGATGCACAAGTTCGTGGCTCATGCTTAGCTGTAAATATATATTTCTAATTCGTTGCAATTTCTAGATTTTATTTTAATTACGCTATCAAGCTCATGTCTTAAAACGATGTATCCATTCGTAACTCTCGCTGAGCAGTGCAGAGCTCCGGTGTGTTCGCAGATATCACAACATTCGCAAATCCCTTCGAGTAACCAGTTTTATCCAAACGCTAAACAGTATCCTTTCCCACACACCACGCTGCACAGAAAAGCCTGTGGCATGACAGTGACGTAAATAATTCTGAGAACTGAAATTCAGCAAAATTAAGGAAATAAAATGTAACTTAATTTATTTAGCGAATGCTTTTCCACGTGACTTTCACGCAGTTAGAGCACCAGATACACAATGGAATTTCAATAATAAACATACATATGTCGATGTAATATGCTGGTGGACGTCAGCCCACGTAGCCAGAGAACCACGTGATAGCCTCCTTCTCCAACACATGCAGGGCATGCAGGGCAAGCAGCCCGGCACACCCTGCCGCACTTCACAGCATGGAACGGTGTGCGCCGCCATTGTAATATGTGATGGGTTTTCTAAATTCATTCATGATTGGGATGAGACCATCAACTTGTTCCACTTGAAGAACCAGTTTAATCACAGAACCTCTGGTGTGCCAGCTCACACGCTTTCACCCGGCCTGCCCTTGGGAACCAGTCTTAACGTTTTTCGGGATCATGCTTGCACAAGCCCAGCAATGGCTTGGCTCTGTTTTTCTAATGGTCGTGGAACCCAGCACACAGTTGCAGCATGCTGCCACGCTCCTAGGCGTATACTGTCGATCCCGAGATGATGAGAGTCCTGCTGTGCAGACATGATTCACAGGTCGCTGACATTATAATAAACAAGAGTTATCTTCTTACCTGCTGGCATTTGATGCTTTCATGGTTTCGTCCTCAAGAAGAAATGATTCCTCCTTTGCACAAAAATGTTATCATAGTTAAATTATGCAATTGTACTGAACAGCTCAGGAAGAAATGTCAAAGAATGTATGCAAAATAATGCACAAGTTGTTCTTTGGATGGCATTGACATCTTTAATTTTCTATTTTATGCAATTCTCATTCACAGGTCCTCTATCAATCCACTGCCGTATGAAGCCCTCCCCACAATGTGTTAGCCATGGGAGCTGTGTGACCATCCTGCCCCATGCGCTGGTCAGTGCGGGTTGGTTAACGGCAGGGAGGGGCCAAAGGACCAATCAAGATGCCACACTGACCGCCGACGATATCCACGACAGTTTACCGAAATGAGCCCCACGGATTTGTAATGCAATGCGCCAACCGCTATGCCACCACTCTTGCCTTTCTCAACTTGGATTCAAGATGCACGCACAGAAAAAAAACAAGTGTGCAACTGTGTGTCAGTGAACCTTTGCATCACCGAGGCTCACCTGCTGCTTTTTGCAGGTGTCATTCTCCCGAGAGAACGACACCTGCAAAGTGAATGACCCAATTTGGAAGCGGTTGAATCGGCGGATGGCATCCATAGCCTCGCTGAGCTTCGAGAACACTACGAACCTAAAAAGGGACAACGACATCACTACAGGCAGGTCACTGCCGTTCCTTAAATCAAGGTGGAGACAAATGTTTACTTTATAAAAACTAAAATAGAGAAGATCTTTTGTTACCATTTTATAAACCCCACAGTTGCTTGGCATGCATAAACCAACATGCTACAATCATCCTCGTAGAGGCTTTTGGTTAGCCATCGAACAAAGACGATCACTGCATCGCGCGCTTCTGCGGCCGTCTGGAACGGTCTTCCTTCTGATATAGGAAGCCACTGGAGCGATGCATGAATTTAAAACTAAAACTAGAAATGCTTTTTGTATTTAGTTTGTTGTCGTTCCTCCCCACCTCCGATTAGGACATTTGACTACAAACGGTGAGAAAGAATTCCCAACATACATATACATAGATACAACTAACCCGCAAGCTGTGTGAAAAGGTCCATGTTTCTTCAATATCTTCTTCACATAGAGCACATCTCCTGATTGGCTGAAAAGCTTCTTCATAGCCTCCTAAAACAAGGACATTTTATTTTAAAACACGACAATATGGATGGCCATGCTTTAAAGCACCTGTTGGCCTTTGTAAGTATCTATCAGCTTGGAAGCTGACAGCGTAACCGTCAGGTTAAAATGAATTTGCATATGTTCTAATAGGCCTCTGTAACTCTGGTTTGTCACTCCATATGTTGTAGAAGACTCTGATCTATCAATGAGAGGTCATATCCAGCAACGCAGCTTCATAGTACTGTTAGATAAGTGTCACCCCCCCCTAACCTCCACCCATTTTCATTTTTTTTTATTTGGGAGGTCTCTAAAAGCAACAGCAAAACCGTGTAATGTATTAGCCTGCAATTCGGTGTGGTGAAACTCCTATCTATTCACGTTGGTGTGGAGGATTCCTACTGACAGATCCTAGTATCAGCATCAATTACTTTCCATGTTATTTGCATGCTTGTTTAGATGGAATGCTCTTGCCTATAGCAATAACATCTGGCAACCCAATGAGATCTAGAATTTGAAAACCAGTCCAGAGTTTCTTTTTTGCTTAAACCGATACTGCTTGACACGTCTGGAAAACCAATAGGTTGGCTCAATAAAAATGTATTTTCATTTGATGTTGAGATACTGGGAAAAATTATGCTTCTCTTTGTTGAGAAACCTCACTCCCAACTGCCTTGAAGATCACGCAAGACCGAACAACGTACCTCAGTCATTTCCTGAGGAAGGCAGTTGACAAAAATTTGCATGGATTTTACCGTGCTTGAGTTGGCCGTTCGGTCAGGAATTCCATTTTCTGCCATGCTGGTTTTGTCAAGTATCGGGATGTACAAGATTGGAGAAGAGGCCAAAGCATCAACACAAAACACAAAAGGTTATTTGATTAGCACGGTCTAATTTGTTAAAGAAAATGTTCTATATCATTTGTTTTCCTCTTCTACTGACATAGAATCATAAACACAGAAAAAGAATGAGCTACAGCATACTGTCAAAACATGCAGTTGGTTTCCAATGAATTGTTAACAAGCAAACCCCTCAATATTTTACATTACAGAAGGTTCCTCGTCAAACTGAGAGGTGGCCTGGAGATATACTATTTATTTGTGTAGCACAGCAAGTGAGTTTGTGAGCAAATCTGTGCAGTCCTACAAGTGTTAACCCTTGTAAGCATGGCTTTTTCCATGTGCTCTAGTTTCCTGCCACATACAAAACATTCCTTTACACTGGACTGGCCAAATATTCCAATATCAGGATGCTCTTGAATAAATAGCCTTAGGATTCAGTGAAGCTTTTCTGGATAAACAGAATTGGATACATTTTTATTAACCGACATGATACAACCACATTGTCGCAGATATCAGCTATCGGTCTAACCTCTTAACCCCTGACCTCAGAACCTGCACTGTGAGACATTTGTTATGGACTCAGCGTTGCTGCAAACTCTGTAAGCACAACTATACCCCGCTAACCTGTTCTAGGAAGCCATATTTTAACATAAGGGAACTAAAGTGTTCCGGTACCAGCTGTTTGCCGGCTGTGCCCACATCGGTAGTCGGGCTCCCGGTCCTCGGTTGTAGCTGTTGAAGCTAACATTTTTGAAATCTTCTCTCATGGGGTTCCACACATCCAAGTCCTTTTCCCCGACTTCTTCCTCAAATCTGCAAGCAAAGCTTCGGCCAGGCCGAGCCCTTACGAGACCAAGCAATTGTCAAAGCCCATTTCTCAATCGTGCATCCACTCCCTGTCATCATCATCACCCTCTCATCGTCATCCTCTCATCATCATCCTCTCAACATCATCACCCTCTCAACATCATCACTCTCTCATCCCCGATATTGTGGTCCAGGCTATGTCTGCTTCTATATCTCCGCCCTTTCGGTACCAATTCCTAGATTTTACTTTTATTAATTTAAAATTTTACCTACGTGACTTTACCGAAAAACCCTAAGAAAACTTTCGGTACCATCTTACTTCCCATTCTTTATCTCACCCTGCTTCTTCTTTCTTTCCATACATTCGCTAGACTCCACTCCCCTTCCAGTGGATGTGGCACTGGTAACTCGGTTTTTATTACAATCAAATTCATCCTCTGACACCGTGGAGTGCACTGCTCACCCGCTGTGTTTCCCCTGGTCTGCCATTTATTTGCGAGAAGGACGTCTGAAAGTACAAAAACACAACTTTGTCAACATCAACAGCATGAATAATAGAGATGCCAACTCTTTGACCGCACGTAACCATCCTGCGGGTTGGTGAAGAGGGGGTGGACGGGGACAGGAAATTGGAACCTTAGGACCAACGTTGGGACAAACATCGTCCCCAACGTTCCATGCTTGCTGGGAATCATTGAACGTTAGAGGTCAGTATAGTACAGTAACAAAAATGTATATTTCTATAGTGCCATGGGCTGCACCTCTCCGTAGTCTTTGCCGAAAGACCCCCTTTTTATTACACGCTTTTTATTTTACACGCTTTTATTTAAATCACTCTGTTGTTGTTGTCGTATCCTCAAATCTTGTAGCTCAATTTTAACCCACTTCCCAAGATGGTATCGACTGCAAACGTCGTATACTTATGTCATACTGATGACAATACTATATTCTATCATAAAAAATATAAAACACATTTTGAAACAATCTTTCTTTCGGCTTGGGTCGAATTGTCCACGATCAACTCAACGTTGGCTGTAAATCACCACGGCACCTTACGTTGTGGCAAGCTTCGGGGCCACTTCCTGGAGTCGTGGAGTTCTGCCATTACTAGTACGGTACATTTCATTAAAGCATGTTTTAAAAAGAGTTGTTTTAAATATTACTTATTCTGCTTAACACTTTCCAGCATCTCTTTGGCTGCTGCCTAGGCCACGAGAGGGCCCAGGACACACGAGATTGTCGTTCATTAAACCACACCAAGTATACTCTTAGGGTTTTTTTTTCGGTAAAGTCACGTAGGTAAAAATAAGTAATAAAAATAAAAATAATATATAAAAATAATAGAAGTAATAATAGTAATAATAATGAAAAACCAATATATAATTTTAGTTAATATATTATTTTATTTCTAATTATTTTTATATTTTATTTTTACCTACGTGACTTTACCGAAAAAACCTAAGAGTATGAATCATTGCAGTCACGAAAGCTTCAAATCTAGAATTCACACCAAGTACTCTGTACGACAAAAGCTGAATTTTAGATTTTAAAATCACGACTTTTTTCTTAGATACCTCCGCCCGTGGCTTGTACGGCGTTGTTATTGTTCGCACGCTAATACGCAGCAACACAACGCTGAATACATCTCTCGCACAAAACAATCAATCGATAAGGATTAACAATCGGTAACTATCGAGTAGTTTGTGTGCGAACACGTTCACAAGAAGCGAAGTTAGCGATCAACGTCTGGCGCGACCATTGCCGCCAGAGCGACCACGTGGTGGGTGGAATGGCACAAACTTACCAACCAAAAAGCGAATTTGTATTTTTTTTTATGTCGTTTCCTTTAAGCTGTTTTAAATTAAGGCTGCCAAGCTAATACCCGCCCCGAGTAAATAAAAAAAAGACTTAACCAGTGAGCGTTCAAGTTGTTAATGGATCAATGTCCATAGGGGTTGTTGATTTAAGCGAGTTGACTTTAACACGGCAAACGCCTGAGCACGATGACCTGCACTGTTGGTGGTGGTTGAGTGAGAGGGTGAGTTGATGTGGTGATGGTTGAGTGAGAGGGTGAGTTGATGTGGTGGTGGTTGAGTGAGAGGGTGAGTTGATGTGGTGGTTGATTGAGTGGATGAGTTGATGTGGTGGTGGTTGAGTGAGAGGATGAGTTGATGTGGTGGTGGTTGAGTGAGAGGGTGAGTTGATGTGGTGGTGGTTGAGTGAGAGGGTGAGTTGATGTGGTGGTGGTTGAGTGAGAGGGTGAGTTGATGTGGTGGTGGTTGAGTGAGAGGGTGAGTTGATGTGGTGGTGGTTGAGTGAGAGGGCGAGTTGATGTGGTGGTTGTTGAGTGAGAGGGTGAGTTGATGTGGTGGTGGTTGAGTGAGAGGGTGAGTTGATGTGGTGGTGGTTGAGTGAGAGGGTGAGTTGATGTGGTGGTGGTTGAGTGAGAGGGTGAGTTGATGTGGTGGTGGTTGAGTGAGAGGGTGAGTTGATGTGGTGGTGGTTGAGTGAGAGGGTGAGTTGATGTGGTGGTGGTTGAGTGAGAGGGTGAGTTGATGTGGTGGTGGTTGAGTGAGAGGATGAGTTGATGTGGTGGTGGTTGAGTGAGAGGATGAGTTGATGTGGTGGTTGATTAAGTGGGTGAGTTGATGTGGTGGTGGTTGAGTGAGAGGATGAGTTGATGTGGTGGTGGTTGAGTGAGAGGGTGAGTTGATGTGGTGGCGGTTGAGTGAGAGGATGAGTTGTAGTGGTGGTTGATTGAGTGGGTGAGTTGATGTGGTGGTTGAGTGAGAGGGTGAGTTGATGTGGTGGTGGTTGAGTGAGAGGGTGAGTTGATGTGGTGGCGGTTGAGTGAGAGGATGAGTTGATGTGGTGGTTGATTGAGTGGGTGAGTTGATGTGGTGGTGGTTGAGTGAGAGGGTGAGTTGATGTGGTGGTGGTTGAGTGAGAGGGTGAGTTGATGTGGTGGTGGTTGAGTGAGAGGATGAGTTGATGTGGTGGTGGTTGAGTGAGAGGGTGAGTTGATGTGGTGGTGGTTGAGTAAGAGGATGAGTTGATGTGGTGGTGGTCGAGTGAGAGGATGAGTTGATGTGGTGGTGGTTGAGTGAGAGGGTGAGTTGATGTGGTGGTGATTGAGTGAGAGGGTGAGTTGATGTGGTGGTGGTTGAGTGAGAGGATGAGTTGATGTGGTGGTGGTTGAGTGAGAGGGTGAGTTGATGTGGTGGTGGTTGAGTGGATGGTCGAGTGAGTGGTTTAGTTGAGTGGTTTAGTTGAGTGGTGACCTGCAGTGTTGGTGATGGTGGTGGTTGAGTGAGAGGATGAGTTGATGTGGTGGTTGAGTGAGTGGGTGAGTTGATGTGGTGGTGGTGGTGGTTGATTGAGTGGGTGAGTTGATGTGGCACCTGGGTCTGTCCCGAGACCTCCTTGTCAGCGAGCCTTCGTTACTTCACGTGGCCACAAAGTGCACCTTGCCTGGCACAGACCCCGTGGTAACGTCACCGTCACTTAGTGCCGAATGGCGGATATTGGTGACCCTATGGTTGAGTGAGTGTGGTGTTGGTGGTTGAGTGAGTGGGTGAGTGTGGTGTGGTGGTTGGGTGAGTGTGGTGGTTGAGTGAGTGTGGTATGGTGGTTGAGTGGGTGAGTGTGGTGTGGTGGTTGAGTGGGTGAGTGTAGTGTGATGGTTGGGTGAGTGTGGTGTGGTGAGTGTGGTGGCTTGAGTGAGTGTGGTGGTTGAGTGAGTGTGGTGTGGTGGTTGAGTGAGTGGGTGAGTGTGGTGTTGGTGGTTGGGTGAGTGTGGTGGTTGAGTGTGGTGTGGTGGTTGAGTGAGTGTGGTGTGGTGGTTGAGTGAGTGGGTGAGTGTGGTGGTTGAGTGTGGTGTGGCGAGTGTGGTAGTTGAGTGAGTGTGGTGTGGTGGTTGAGTGAGTGGGTGAGTGTGGTGTGGTGGTTGAGTGAGTGTGGTGTGGTGGTTGAGTGAGTGGGTGAGTGTGGTGTGGCGAGTGTTGTAGTTGAGTGAGTGTTGTGTGGTGGTTGAGTGGGTGAGTGTGGTGGTTGAGTGTGGTGTGGCGAGTGTGGTGGTGTGGTGGTTGAGTGGGTGAGTGTAGTTGTTGAGTGTGGTGCGGTACGAGATGAAACGGCTCAACTCCAGACAACCCGAAGCCCCGTTTAGCGTTTGTAAAGAAACACTAAAAATGACGAATGTTTTTGTTGTTAAATTAAAGTAATCTTGGCAACCCAAACGCTGTCCATTCCACGTGAGTTGGACGGAGCCCGCGTGACGCTTGGGATGAACCAACTTGCATCAACAGTGGGGGGGAGAGGCGTGGTTATGCAACGATTAATCGATTATCGATACTGTACACTAATCGATTGTCGATTCAGCGTACCAAAGTGGGGGGGGGAGCGGCGTGGTTCTGCAACGATTAATCGATTATCGATGCTGTACACTAATCGATTGTCGATTCAGCGTACCAAACAATTATCGATTCCGCGTACAAATAGATGTATTTCGACGATTACTCTACAACACTTTGCATTCGTTTATGTCAGGGGTCCTCGAACTACGGCCCGCGGGCCACAAGCGGCCCGCCGAGGACATTTATCCGGCCCATGGTCACTAATTGAGCTGCGCTTGTGAGCACTAATTGGGCTGCGCTGGTGAGCACTAATTGGGCTGCGCTTGTGAGCACTAATTGGGCTGCGCTTGTGAGCACTAATTGAGCTGCGGTGGTGAGCACTAATTGGGCTGCGCTTGTGAGCACTAATTGGGCTGCGCTTGTGAGCACTAATTGGGCTGCGCTGGTGAGCACTAATTGGGCTGCGCTTGTGAGCACTAATTGGGCTGCGCTTGTGAGCACTAATTGGGCTGCGCTTGTGAGCACTAATTGGGCTGCGCTTGTGAGCACTAATTGGGCTGCGCTTGTGAGCACTCATTGGGCTGCGGTGGTGAGCACTAATTGGGCTGCGGTGGTGAGCACTAATTGGGCTGCGCTTGTGAGCACTAATTGGGCTGCGCTTGTGAGCACTAATTGGGCTGCGCTGGTGAGCACTAATTGGGCTGCGCTGGTGAGCACTAATTGGGCTGCGCTTGTGAGCACTAATTGGGCTGCGCTGGTGAGCACTAATTGGGCTGCGCTTGTGAGCACTAATTGGGCTGCGCTGGTGAGCACTAATTGGGCTGCGCTTGTGAGCACTCATTAGGCTGCGCTGGTGAGCACTAATTGGGCTGCGCTGGTGGGCACTGATTGGGCTGCGCTTGTGAGCACTAATTGGGCTGCGCTGGTGGGCACTGATTGGGGTGCGCTTGTGAGCACTAATTGGGCTGCGCTGGTGGGCACTGATTGGGGTGCGCTTGTGAGCACTAATTGGGCTGCGCCGATGAGCACTAATTGGGCTGCGGTGGTGAGCACTAATTGGGCTGCGCTTGTGAGCACTCATTGGGCTGCGTTTGTGAGCACTAATTGGGCTGCGGTGGTGAGCACTGATTGGGCTGCGGTGGTGAGCACTCATTGGGCTGCGCTTGTGAGCACTCATTGGGCTGCGCTGGTGAGCACTAATTGGGCTGCGCTGGTGAGCACTCATTGGGCTGCGTTTGTGAGCACTAATTGGGCTGCGGTGGTGAGCACTGATTGGGCTGCGGTGGTGAGCACTCATTGGGCTGCGCTTGTGAGCACTCATTGGGCTGCGGTGGTGAGCACTAATTGGGCTGCGCTGGTGAGCACTAATTGGGCTGCGCTTGTGAGCACTAATTGGGCTGCGGTGGTGAGCACTAATTGGGCTGCGCTTGTGAGCACTAATTGGGCTGCGCTTGTGAGCACTCATTGGGCTGCGGTGGTGAGCACTCATTGGGATGCGCTGGTGAGCACTAATTGGGCTGCGGTGGTGAGCACTAATTGGGCTGCGCTTGTGAGCACTAATTGGGCTGCGCTGGTGAGGACTAATTGGGCTGCGGTGGTGGGCACTAATTGGGCTGCGGTGGTGAGCACTAATTGGGCTGCGCTGGTGGGCACTGATTGGGGTGCGCTTGTGAGCACTAATTGGGCTGCGCTGGTGGGCACTGATTGGGGTGCGCTTGTGAGCACTAATTGGGCTGCGCCGATGAGCACTAATTGGGCTGCGGTGGTGAGCACTAATTGGGCTGCGCTTGTGAGCACTCATTGGGCTGCGTTTGTGAGCACTAATTGGGCTGCGGTGGTGAGCACTGATTGGGCTGCGGTGGTGAGCACTCATTGGGCTGCGCTTGTGAGCACTCATTGGGCTGCGCTGGTGAGCACTAATTGGGCTGCGCTGGTGAGCACTCATTGGGCTGCGTTTGTGAGCACTAATTGGGCTGCGGTGGTGAGCACTGATTGGGCTGCGGTGGTGAGCACTCATTGGGCTGCGCTTGTGAGCACTCATTGGGCTGCGGTGGTGAGCACTAATTGGGCTGCGCTGGTGAGCACTAATTGGGCTGCGCTTGTGAGCACTAATTGGGCTGCGGTGGTGAGCACTAATTGGGCTGCGCTTGTGAGCACTAATTGGGCTGCGCTTGTGAGCACTCATTGGGCTGCGGTGGTGAGCACTCATTGGGATGCGCTGGTGAGCACTAATTGGGCTGCGGTGGTGAGCACTAATTGGGCTGCGCTTGTGAGCACTAATTGGGCTGCGCTGGTGAGGACTAATTGGGCTGCGGTGGTGGGCACTAATTGGGCTGCGGTGGTGAGCACTAATTGGGCTGCGCTGGTGAGCACTGATTGGGCTGCGCTTGTGAGCACTAATTGGGCTGCGCTTGTGAGCACTAATTGGGCTGCGGTGGTGAGCACTAATTGGGCTGCGGTGGTGGGCACTAATTGGGCTGCGGTGGTGAGCACTAATTGGGCTGCGCTTGTGAGCACTAATTGGGCTGCGCTGGTGAGCACTAATTGGGCTGCGGTGGTGAGCACTAATTGGGCTGCGGTGGTGAGCACTCATTGGGCTGCGGTGGTGAGCACTCATTGGGCTGCGGTGGTGAGCACTGATTGGGCTGCGCTGGTGAGCACTCATTGGGCTGCGGTGGTGGGCACTAATTGGGCTGCGCTGGTGAGCACTCATTGGGCTGCGGTGGTGAGCACTCATTGGGCTGCGCTGGTGAATGGTTCAATGGGCCAATTGACTGGACTTGCCCCCCAAGCCTAAGGCTGCCAGCCCTCCCCTGGTTCCGCTTGACTGGCTCTCCCTCCCTCAGCTCTCTCACTTGCCCCTCGGCTCCATTCCCAGTGATATTCCTGTGTGCTGGGGATATACTGCGATCTGTGAACAAAACTGCAGGTGTAATTAACTTTTTAATGGCACCCGCACCAGTGTGAGCCTGGGGTAAAAGCGGAGTTCCCCCAATCAGACTGCATTGATGGGCAGTGCAGTCTGTATGTCTCTGTGTGGGCAAAGTTATTGCTGGTATATTGTTTTTGTAGCGCTGTACATATATATTGGTATTTTACTAATGGCAATTTTGACTCCCTAGGAAACTGATGTCAAGAAAGAGAAAAATTGACTCGGAGTCTAGGATATTCAAAGAACAGTGGACTTATGTTTACTTTTTCATGCAGTACAAGGAAAGAGCTGTGTGTCTGATATGCCAGAATATAGTTTCTGTGTTCAAATAATACAATTTACATCGACACTATGAAACTCAATATAAAGATAAATATGATTGTTTGGTCGGAGAAGTGAGAAAAGATAAAACATTAACAACTCAGCAAAATACTTTTGTGAAGCAGAAGCAGCTAAATATTTCATCACTGCGAGCAAGTTTTCAAGTTGCCAAGCTAATAGTGTGCACTGGCAGACCATTCGTGGACGGAGAATTTGTTAAAGAATGCCTTCTTTCTGTTGCCAAAGAGATGTGTCCAGAGAAGGCCGATTTATTTAGTACAGTGAGTCTTTCAGGACCTACAATTACACGGAGGATTGAAGAAATGGGAGACAATTTGCATCAGCATTTGCAAAACTCCACAAAAAAACGTTCCTATTTTTCCTTGGCACTCGACGAAAGCAATGATGTTCGTGATTCTGCACAACTTCTCATTTTTATTCGTGGGATGAATGACTATTTCGAAGTCACAGAAGAGCTTGCTGCACTGCAGAGCATCAAAGGAACAACTACAGGAGAGGATATCTATGAAAAGGTTTGCCAAACTGTGAATGGTTTGGAGCTGAATTGGGCTAAACTAGCCAGTGTGACAACTGGTGGTGCTCCTAGCATGGTGGGGGTGGGACTGGGTGGGGAGGGGCTGGTCACCCCGTGGTGCCCTTATAAAACTCAACGTTTAACCTACTCACGCCGGCTTGTGCCCACCCTCACAGTCGGGCATATTTGCAGCATACACCACGCCGCCGTTGACCCTGGCCATTGACCGAGCAACCCAACGTTCCAACCAGCTCCCTCCGCAGGAATGTGCACGTGATATTGGCAGCTACGTTTGCAACAATGTTTGCTCAACAATGTTAAATCATCGATTATTTAAACGAACGGTGCTCCATAATCGTTACGCCTCTCATTCTCTTATCTGTAACGTAGACATTTTGGGTACAATTTGATGAAAGAAAAAAGCACGTTTAATAAAGATGAGGAATTTGTAGCGGTTGGCGGTGGTGCTGTAGTCGTGGATTTCCCGCCACGTTTCACATCAGTGGTGAGCGGACAGCTCACAGGGGTCAGTCGCCAAACCAACGTGTCCATTTGTTTTTATTTGGGTTGGAAAAAATAAATCTATATTTCAAGAGCCAGAAACGCGCGTGGTGAATACGAGACGGTGGTGGTCCTTGGTGAATTTCTGTCACGAAACAACATTCCTTGAATGAGCTGCAGGTTGCCAACCCGTGCCCATGGTAAACTGGACTTCTATAGAGAACTGGACTTCCATGGTGAACTGGACTTCCATAGAGAACTGGACTTCCATGGTAAACTGGACTTCTATAGAGAACTCGACTTCCATGGTGAACTGGACTTCCATAGAGAACTGGACTTCCATGGTGAACTGGACTTTCATGGTGAACTAGACTTCCATAGAGAACTGGACTTCTATAGAGAACTGGACTTCCATGGTGAACTGGACTTTCATGGTGAACTAGACTTCCATAGAGAACTGGACTTCTATAGAGAACTGGACTTCCATGGTGAACTGGATTTCCATGGTGAACTGGACTTGCATGGTGAACTGGACTTCCATAGAGAACTGGACTTCCATGGTGAACTGGACTTTCATGGTGAACTAGACTTTCATAGAGGACTGGACTTCTATAGAGAACTGGACTTCCATGGTGAACTGGATTTCCATGGTGAACTGGACTTGCATAGAGAACTGGACTTCCATGGTGAACTGGATTTCTATAGAGAACTGGACTTCCATAGAGAACTGTATTTCCATAGAAAACTAGACTTTCATGGTGAACTGGACTTTCATTGTGAACTGGACTTTCATGAATTCTAGATTTGAAGCTTTCGTGACTGCAAGGATTCATATTCTTAGGTTTTTTCGGTAAAGTCACGTAGGTAAAACATCAAAATTAATAAAAAATAAAATAAAATAAAGATCACGACGTTTCGGAGGCAACACAAGTCTCCGTCATCAGGTGGGACTGTCACAGCCAGATCAGCTGCATCAAGTGAGGCAATGATTCAAGATGTAATCCCTTGAAAGCGAGTTGAGGGGGGAGGAGAGGGGGGGGGGAGCTCATCAGAATGTGGTAGCCAATGAATGGAACGTATCGGGAGGGAGGGGGGCGGGGCCAAAAGGGTGGGCGACGGCGTGTAAGCGATTGTGCGCAAGCGACAAACTGCTGCACACGCCAACGTCTTGGACAGAGAGGGGGGAGGGGGAGGCCTGATACACATGATAGAAAAGAACGATAAATGCCCATGTTTATACCAATGCTGGCTGAACAATGAAGAGATTACTGTTAAACCAAGACTATGAATTCCTGCAATCACGAAAGTTTTAAGTATAAATTTGGACTCCCATGGTGAACTGGCCTCCCATGGTAAACTGGACTTCCATGGTCACAGAGGCCGTCAACCCAAATAACAAGAAGAGCCATTTGTTTAGAATTTCAAGAGTCGCACTGCAGTCCTTAAAGAGTCACCGCAGGTTTTTGCCGACCTCTTGGATAGCTGCTGAACCGGTCTTAGAGGCACCCAACTCCTCCACCCATAACCAACACACGCACACACACAGAGCACCAAACATTCGTATGGCGTGATATTTGATGCTATGTTTGATTCGTGATATACTACATACAGTACAAGAATACGCTTATTACATATGTTGTCGATTTTGTATTATCTAACATTGTAACAAATATAATTCCTTACATTCGCCAATAACACCGCGTGTAGCCTTAAAATAAAACATTCAGTGCAAGGCAACGTTTCGGGAAATGTCCCTTCGTCCACATTTAGAAACATTCATTTCGAGTATTTAGATTGCTTTCATAGACAAATGATAGTCACCTCGTTGAGCTATCAAAATGAGTTCATCGTTCAGTGGGCTTTACCTGATAAGATACAATTTTATATATTTAATTTATCGTGATTTGTTTACATTTCCTATACGTTGCACTCATATCGTGTGTTTGGATTGTTTGTTGTTGTAACATTCTGCCCCTAATTGGGAAATGTGTGAATAAGAGCTTTATAAGCTCATCAGATTCCTCCTCCAGTATAAATAAACCATTCAGATTCTGAGAAGTCATAAATATATATTAAATCATGGGACCTTTTTGCCAGTATCAAAGTATGAAAAATAAGAATATGTTTGACGATTTCTGGCAATAAAAAGGTGTTATAAGATGTTCAAACACCAAATACAGGGACTCGTCTACCTAAGAACGTTCGACTTATGAACTGTCAGAGATACGAACAAACCCGGTCCGTATGTCCAAGTTGCGTGTTCGGACCGAGAGTCGTAAGTTCAACCGCCGAGCAACAGATGGCGGCGGTGGCATCTACATCTGCAGAACTTGAAGAACCAGTGGCATCTACATCTGCAGAACTTGAAGAACCAGTGGCATCTATATCTGCAGAACTTGAAGAACCAGTGGCATCTACATCTGCAGAACTTGAAGAACCAGTGGCATCTACATCTGCAGAACTTGAAGAACCAGTGGCATCTATATCTGCAGAACTTGAAGAACCAGTGGCATCTACATCTGCAGAACTTGAAGAACCAGTGGCATCTACATCTGCAGAACTTGAAGAACCAGTGGCATCTACATCTGCAGAACTTGAAGAACCAGTGGCATCTATATCTGCAGAACTTGAAGAACCAGTGGCATCTACATCTGCAGAACTTGAAGAACCAGTGGCATCTATATCTGCAGAACTTGAAGAACCAGTGGCATCTATATCTGCAGAACGTGAAGAACCAGTGGCATTTACATCTGTAGAACGTGAAGAACCAGTGGCATCTACATCTGCAGAACGTGAAGAACCAGTGGCATCTATATCTGCAGAACGTGAAGAACCAGTGGCATCTACATCTGCAGAACGTGAAGAACCAGTGGCATCTATATCTGCAGAACGTGAAGAACCAGTGGCATCTACATCTGCAGAACTTGAAAAACCAGTGGCATCTATATCTGCAGAACGTGAAGAACCAGTGGCATCTACATCTGCAGAACTTGAAGAACCTAGTGGCATCTACATCTGTAGAACGTGAAGAACCAGTGGCATCTACATCTGCAGAACGTGAAGAACCAGTGGCATCTATATCTGCAGAACTTGAAGAACCAGTGGCATCTACATCTGTAGAACGTGAAGAACCAGTGGCATCTACATCTGCAGAACGTGAAGAACCAGTGGCATCTATATCTGCAGAACGTGAAGAACCAGTGGCATCTACATCTGCAGAAGGTGAAGAAGCAGTGGAATCTACATCTGCAGACCATGAAGAACCAGTGGCATCTGCATATACAGAACACGAAGAACTAGTGGCATCTACATGTGCAGAACATGAATCAGTGGCATCGACAGAACATGAAGAACCAGTGGCATCTACAGGAGATTATACAACTTTTATAGCCATTCCTCGTGTTTCATGTACACCCCGTACAACATGTTTGGAATCCACAGCAGTAAAGTTGAACTTGCGAACAAATCGACTTACGAACAGAACCTCTGCAACCTCATTCGTTCGTAAGTGGAGGAGTCCCTGTCGATTTCATTTGCAACACGAATCGCATTACTATTAATCGACGGCGTATTTGACCAATCGTGAGAGCTCTTCACCCCCACCCCCCCTGTAGTCACAGCCGCGTGGACCAATCACGGTAGCAGAGAGTTTTTTTTCCTGCGAGGGGGGGGAGTGGCTTACTCGGCCGTAGCCAATCGCGCGAGCTCTTCACCCCCCCCACCCTTCTGTAGTCACAGTCGCGTGGACCAATCACGGTAGCAGAGAGTTTTTTTTTTTGTGGGCGGGAGGAGTGGCTTGCTCGGCCGTAGCCAATCGCGAGAGCGCTTCACCCCCCCCCCCTGTAGTCACAGCCGCGTGGACCAATCACGGTAGCAGAAAGTTTTTTTCCTGCGAGGGGGGGGGCGTGGCTTGCTCGTCCGTAGCCAATCGCGAGAGCTCTTCACCCCCTCACCCCCCCCTTCTGTAGTCACAGCCGCGTGGACCAATCACGGTAGCAGAGAGTTTTTTTTCCTGCGAGAGGGGGGGGAGTGGCTTGCTCGGCCGTAGCCAATCGCGTGCCGCGATGCTGGAGCCGGAAGTCGTCACGTGCTGGGCGGAGTAGGAGGAGGGAGTTCCCCAGCTGAGGAGACTTGCCGTGGTGACGGCGGCGGCGGCGTGCAAACTCGCCTCCATCTCTCCATCTCTCCCCTCATCCCTTACCTTGAGATGGACGCGCAGGACGCTGCGGCGGCGGCGGCAGCGGCGGTGGTGGCTGTGGAAGACGTAGAGAACTCCGGACGACGAGGCGGAGACGAGACACAGAGCGGTTTACGTCTTCTACCGGTACGGCCTAGGACGGGTCCTCCCGCGTGTGATTGTGCAGTTTGTGTTCATTCGCGATTCTACCTCCACCCCGGGCTATAAATATAGCGTATATAAATGATGCATATCTGTCAACCCCTTAACAGTGCCCCCTTATTACGGACCAATTGAGACCGTGTTGGTCACCGCCGTGCTCCTTATACATCTCAACGTGTATCATACAAGGTCGCATCGCCAGGGAGAAACGCAAACAAATAGACGAACAGGCATGAGTATCGTAGTTGTCAACCCAGACGGCGTACCCCGTATTCTTGAAGAGGGAAATTGAGTTTTCAGATCCATACGGCGTATAGACGTTTCAATACGGACAAACACAATTGTCTATTTGTTTGTGTGTTCTCCCTTGTGATGGGAACTTTGTAGGATGAATGTTGATATTTACAGGGCACGGGGTGGCCAATAGGGTCTGAATTGGTCTGTAATAGGATAAGCACTGATAAGGGGTTGACAGGTTTGCAGTATATTCAAGCCTGCTCCTGTGTTTATCTCCGTCACACTCCACCATTCGTTTTGATACGATAGATCAGGGGAGGTCGGTAGCCAGAATAACAAGATAATGAGACATTTGTTTCGAATTCGGCCAAAAAAACCAACTCAAAATTTCGAGATCCGCCAGTGCATTGTGGTGAATACGAGACACGGTGGTGATGCTTTGATTAAATCACGGCCACGAAGCCAGAGCCCTTAAAGAGCCACCGCATGCCGTAGGTTGCCGACCCCTGTCAGATCGATGATTGTGTGTTTTGGCTTTGTGTGTGCGAATTGCTGATCCGTCAACCTCTGTTTTTGTCGCCTTCGTGCCCACGCCCCTTGCTAAGACGCCTTCATCATCGTTGAGCCGATGTCTTTTAAAATAGTTTTCACCAACAATCATTTTACGTAATTATGCGAGTCTTTTGTTTAGCGTCTCCCGTCTATTATTTTTTGTTTATATCGCTCATCTTTCTCAACACAAACTGTATTGTGTAGTATCGTACAAATTATCTTCCCACCCACACTGTCTCAATGCACTGCCCGTTACTATGCTAGTTACTGCATGATTAAAAGTGGTAACATCCATCCAATTGTTTCCCTTTCGCTCTAGCCATTTGAATCCGTTGCTTCGAGCTCGTCCAAAATCAGAAACTTTCTCACTTAGCTTTTTGCTGTCGACTAAGATATTATTGTTGTTTACTTTCCTCCAAGTACATTTGTCCTGTCATTATCATTGCCCTGTCCTCGCTTATTATTCGTCTACTTTCCTAAGGATGTGACTTGTGTAGTAGCAATTATAAATCGATATCCAGGTTGTAAAACCATCCGGGTGGCTTCAGAGGATCGGGAGTGAAATCCACTCGTGCCCTCGGGAGAACGCTTGCAGCAGACAAAGAATTCACGATGTGTCTGTTGCACTTTTCATTGTGGTGCGCCAGTCACATTTGAGTTCATAATTTTGTTTGTCTTTTCCTTTTGGGGAATAGGGAATTGCACCTCTACCGTGGTCAGTTCGGATAGCCGAGGGGTCGGATACCTGTGGCTCCGGAGCCGGATGCGGCCCTTTAAGGACTGCTTTGTGACACTTTATTAAGCACCACCGTATCGTATTCACCACACACTGCATTGCGGCTCTTGAAATGTTGAGTTGGGTTTGTTTTTACCGGATAAAAAAATAATGGCTGCTCCATTTATTTTGGTTGCTGACCGCTGGGATAGCCCATTGCTTGTGGGGCAGAGCTTCCTAATGGCTGAATGGTGATGATACCCTCAATGAGGAGTCACTTGTTGTTGTTAACTGTTAACACTGCTCACTGTGGGTGCCGTCTACAGAGACCGTGTCGAGTGGAAGGATCTGAAGCCAGTGCCGCAAGAAGAGGGCCCCAACGCCGTGGTGCAGATTGCTTACTCTGACAAGTGTGGGTTCCGGTTGCATTAACACTCGGCAGATCGCCATCCCTTAGACATGTGGCCTGCAAATGCAGCCCGAGGCTTTTTAGAAACAAATATATTTAACCTTGTGTTCATATATAGTTTCATTTAAATGCTTATCCCTCCATTTTTATTAAACACAGACTTACACAGTATTGTTGCTTTAAGAGCTCGAAAATAATAAAGACAAAAAGGAAGCATTTACAGTTGTGGCAAAAACAGAACGTGGAAAACATCACTGGCTCTTTGCGAGGAAGCTCACCTGGTGCAACGTGTCCCTTGACAGTCCAAGACGTATTCGATTACTTCCGCGCGGTTCTCAAGTGCGATGAGAGGAGCGAGCGTGCCCTGCTACTCACCGCTGACGCCATCGCGCTCAACTCCGCCAACTACACAGTCTGGTGTGTGCTGCTCAACTCCGGCTCTGTGCTGGCCTTCACTTATAAATTATCATGAGAAAACTAATTTATTCTGATACGGAGAATCCGGGTGGGGGGGGGGGGGTAGAGCGGTGCACAATGGTTAGCCCACCGCATTCTGAACCTGATCAGAGTTCTAAATTCCCAACCACTGTTAACATCATTGACGAGTGATATCTGTACCAGATGTGGGCTTCACCAACCTGTGCTTATGATGGTGAAAGTATGGTCAAATAACCCCTATGACAGACATGGTGTCAGATGGCCTTCATCCAGCAGTTGGACATTTATCGCAACTCCAAATAGAGACATCGTCACATGGGTCCAGTATTTTCCCATTGAGCCACCCATTCACTTGTGTGTGTGTCTTGTAAATGTAACGTGTGGTGTTATGGTGCATGTTGGCAGGCATTATCGCAGAGTGCTTTTGCGGTCACTTAATAAAGACCTCCGGGAGGAGCTGGCATATGTTCAAGAGATTATTGAGGATCAACCCAAGAACTATCAAGTCTGGTAATGGCAGTGCGTACGCAACACAACTACCTGTGCTTTAAAAGTCAAATTCTTTTAGAATTGCAAACTTATACTATTTTTGTGATAACCCATCGTCAGGCATCACCGAAGGCTTTTGGTGGATTGGCTGAAAGATGCCACGGATGAACTGGATTTCACGGCAGAGATTTTGAAACAGGACGCAAAGAACTACCACGCCTGGCAGCACCGACAGTGGGTGATACAGGTATGGTCGCCATGGTGTAGCAAGCAGCCCTTGCCCCCCCTTCCCCAGTTATCTATTTGTTGTTTACCATGCAGCTCTTCCCCTGCTTCTGATTGTTATGATTGCTGTCCAATCATACAATCATCATGAACCATGTTCTGTTCACTGCTAGATGAAGGCCTCCCAAAGCCGTCACCATCCGTGACAGCTAAGCGGTGCACCAATTGCGTTAGCTACTGCACACAGCTGATTTAATGGCTCCACCTCCCTCGTGGACATACTCTTTGGTGTTCCCTCTTAACCATTGCCATCATCCTTTCCAGCAATGTTTCCTGCCCAAGCCAATTACTTTTCTTCAGTCAAGGCGATAGCATTTTTTACGTTGCTTTTCATTTTCAAAACTATTCTAACCTGCTTTTCGTTTGTCTCTGTCCTCACTTTCATCCTGGTTCACCTTCAAATACTCCCTGAGTATTATATCCCTTTTCATTAGTTTAAAACACTTGCATCGTTTTCAAACCCGTTGGGCGTGACTTTTGTCTTGCTAAGTTAGCTTTGACCCCACGTCACTTTGCAGTATTTTTATGATGCGCTGCACTCATTCTCCTTCGGCTCATTTCCATGCAATCAACAGAATCGATACGGTTGCAAATACACTCCTATTTTCTCCGTAGGAGTTCAATCTGTGGGATAAGGAACTCGACTTTGTCGAGCGACTCCTGGACGAGGACCTAAGGAACAACTCGGCCTGGAATGAGCGTCACTTCGTTGTGTCTCGCACCACAGGCTACAGCGACTCGGCCACGCTGGATCGGGAGGTCCAGTGAGTTTTGCACCTTCTACACGTCAAATAACCCTCTCAGCTGCCACTGCGCCATTAGGTTTTCTGCGCTGGAGAACCTCGTGGATGGAGAAGGCCTCGTGGCTGCGTCAGATCAGTCATTAATGTCAAGACTTGGGCATAGGAAGAGAGCTCGCTTGGGCCTTTTGGCAGCAGGGACCTAACATATGCTGCCACTCGACTGGTGCACTGTGACAGCCAGGAGCTTTCTCCTTGCCTGCCTACTAGGCCTGTAATAAATCACCTCCCCTCTTCCTAACCTAGTTAGCCTTTGAATGGTCCTGATTCAGGCATCATAATTCGATTCAAGAATTGTTTCCTTTTCAGTTTCATTTTAACTATCTTGTTTAATATCTTGTTCTGTGTCATGTACTTTTGTCCACTCCATTAGCGAAAACTGTAATATTGTTTAAGATTAGCATGAATAGAAAATTATGTATTTTCACACACATGATTTGATGCATGCATGTATTAATAGAAGTATAACTGCGACTACTATGGTGCGTGCAAGCGGTGGCTTTGCCGAAACTGTATTGGATGATAGTGTAGTGTCTACTTTTAACTGCTTATGAAAATAAAATACCGTAACATTTTGAGCCATCAGCATGACGCATGCAGTGATTCACCCTTCCATGTAAATTAGACATTTGTTTCTCTATGAGGTGACCAAGATTAATACAATTGTTGTTGTCTAGAATTTGAGGAAGAATAACTTTTGTCGTAAATTAATTTTTAACAGGCCATTTAATAGAAATATGGCCACCCTCTTTTTAAATTAAAATGATCGCATTACTCATAAATAAATTAGTACCACTAATGTTTATTTAGGTTGTACCGACAAGTTAAATTGTTAACCTTGACCCATGGACGAATAACCGTTGAGACACAATTGAGGACTGGGCTATAACATTAATCTATACCGGATGGTCCTTCATGGATATGTTTTCAAATATTTGTAAAATAATGTTTTTGAATTAATTCTAATGGACATTTTTTCCACAGTTATACTCTGAACATGATTAAGAAGGCTCCACACAACGAAAGCTCCTGGAACTATTTAAGAGGGTAAGGTGTTGCCTTTTTGACACAACTATCAAAATCATTCGGGAATAAATTATAGGACTGCATTGCCAGCAAATCACCACATTCAATAGCATTACCTTTAAGGTGATTTTACTGATGTATTTGGACTTTTAGCAATGCGTTATTGTATTTAACATGAGCAATAAAAACATACAGCACGATGACAAGATAAAAGCAGAGGAATCAAGTTAAGTAAACCGTTGAAAAACACATTGGATTGACAAAGGGGACTGTACATATACAAACAGAACATTTGCTCAATCTTACTTGCCATTTTTGTTATTCACGTGGTACTGTTTAATCCAGAACAAACTCGGCCACACAGTTCACGTAGTTCATTTGAAATAGCTGAATGGACAGAGTAGCAGGTTATATATGTTTCACATGTACCTGTCATGCATACATATAAACATCCACATATACAGGGTGCTCAAATTTTTTTTTACACAGAAAAAGAACGGATAATACACTAACATAATAACAAATGTATGTTAATAGCTTAAAAGGGTCTCAACTTGTTTGCCATCATTGTCAATACATGCCTAGAATCTTCTCCAGGTGGTCTCCAGAGACCAGAGGCACATTTCTTGTGGTATTATGCAAATTCTTTGAAGTGTTAAAGTCTTTTTAGAAGCACCCTGTATATATCATATCCATGCTTGCAGCATCTTGGAGGAGAAGGGGCTGGCTCGGTATCCGAGCCTGCTGGAGCTGATCGAAGAGATTCGGGATGGGCAGGTGTCGGATGACGTGACCGTGTCGCCGTACCTCCTCGCCTTCATTGTCGACCTGCACGAGGACCAGCTGGACAGTGGCTGTGGGGACAGAGCGGAGACGCTCGCCACAGCACTGAAGGTACTGCCTCCTTGCCCCCTTCACACACTTGTACTAAAGAGAAACAAGGGTGGCTGGGTGGTATGGGGTAGGCTAATACCGTTTCGGAGCACCGAGTCTGTACCATTGAAATCCTTGGTCCAGGTAACCAACTGGTAATAAGCTGGGTCCTCAAATTGATCTTAGCCTGGTTACCAATGACCACAAAAACATTTGATTTTTCATTGGGCACTTCTGACTCGTTGCAGAGCTTATAAAGGGTGAACTCCCATTTGGATGGAAGTTTCTTCTGATCCAGGGTACAACTGCTCACTTTGTCTCACGGTGCCAACATTGCAAACTAATAATGCAAGGAGAGTAACACCTAACAAGTATAACCCGTAAAAACAAAGTTTTTCACTATAAATCCTTTATATGCGTGGCGGCTAGAGTCCTCTCGTCCTCTGGCTTGAGATGGCTGCCACCTATGGGTCAGATGATTGCATTGCACCATTAAGCAATTGGTAATTAAATATAATATTTTTGTCCTAAAAAGTGTAAAATGTAGGAAAAAAAATTTTCACGAACATTGTCACGCACAACGAGTCTGTGTGCAAAATGTCAGCTCGATTGGATCATGGGAAGTGGGTTAAAAAACGACCGAAAAATTTGCACGGTCGTAAGCAAGCAAGCGGACTTAATATAAAGGATTTAAAAAAAGAAATGACGTCAATCGCATGCCTCGTCATGTCCCCAGCTGTGCGAGCAGCTTGCCACGGAGCTGGACACCATTCGTGGCGAGTACTGGCGGTACGTCGCCAATTCCCTGCAGCAGAGGTTCGGATCCCTGGCCGCGTCAAACAAGGAGCCTTTGGTGCGGCCTGTGCAGGCCACGGCTTGAACGTGACCCCCTCTGGAATCATCTCCACGCAAGCTTTGAACAAATTGTTGAAACTTTTTCCGCCTGCCTCCCATGACTTAAGTTTTATTCCCTTAAAGGTATTCTGAAAGTTGTGGCCTCTCTAACTTGGATCTTATTGTAAATGATTCATATTTAAGTCTGCACTTCGCTTGTACCAGCAGATATAGGAGTGGCAGGTGAAATGGATGCAGATTGTGTTTTTTTTGCAAGATCTAAAAATGTCAAACTTTAAGGAAATTGCTCGATGTATTCAAACAATAAACAATTTTGCACGAGTGGAAGTTACAGCAGGGTCACACTTTCAATTTGTTTTTACATCTGGTTACAGAAGTTGATAAAGCGCTCGTATGAATGAAAACAATCTAACGCAAACTGCCTCCTTGAGGATCCCAAAAGCTTTTCACCTTATGCCCAAATGCATCATGTGGCTATGAAATGTCACCGTTAATTACACAAGGAGAAATGCTTCGTATAAATATTATTTTGCCTTGAGATAGAAAAACACCACACAAGTAATACTGTACGTAATGATTATTGTTTGGCCCATTTGCCTCAACAATGTACAAGGGGAGAAGGGAAGCCGTGAACTTAACCTCAATTTACAATGCAGCTTCAGTTGCATCTGATAAAACACAGTACGTGTGAAAATGCTACACAAACACAACCTTCACACAGCAATATACATATGAACGTGTCATTTTGGACGTTGCAAGTGCTTAGGATGTAACGTAATTCAATAACTGTGCCCCAAATAAGTGGCATGCATGAACATCACTTACTGGTTTATTGTTGCCAGATAACTTTTTTTCCCATATTGCGACATGATCGAGACTAAAATTCCATATCCCTTGTGTACAGAGTATACAATATGCTGCTGGGACAGGTAAAGCCTTTTACGAGATTGCTGTTGACATTTTTCATTAATTGCAACACCTATGTTTACATCTGGAAACTGCCTGCCAGAATCACAAGTTTAATATTAATTTCAAATCAAGTGATGCCTGGTTAGTTTCCGCAAACCATGGCTCATTTTCACTTCATTAATAAGCGGACCTGAACTAACGCGCCACAGATGAAAGTGACCGATGAGTTGTGCTGCAAGTCATTTCAAGACCTCTGGGAGCTTTTATTATTGCATTTGTGTCTGTGCCAGATGAACATTAACGCAGCATTAGTGACATTTAGAATACTGTTGTAAAGTGTACAATTTCCGCAGTAACCTGCAAAGACGAGGGGAAAACAATAAGCGACCTGTGTGAAGTTACACTATGTACTTGCCTAAAATCCAGAGGTGGGACAAAGTCATTGTTATGCAAGTCCAAGTCGAGTCTGAAGTCATCAAATTCATGACTCGAGTCTGACTCGAGTCCAAGTCACATGACTCGAGTCCACACCTCTGCTAAAATCTACGTCAAAATGGGATTTTAAGCACAAATACACTACATTTAAAGCACCTAAACACGAATTGCTCCAATAAAAATAATTGCTTTACATTGGCTAGGCTAAGTACCCACAGAACAGAAATAATAATGCCATTACACCATATATCAAAAAGCATGTTTTAAATAAATCCACATTAGTATGCTGTTTTGAACAAGTTCTTAAACCCAGGGCTTCAAACTTAAAAGCATCATGCTATTGTAATAAAACAAATCTGCTGTGGCAGGCGTATCTTCCTCTTAAGGCCTTGTTAGTGGATCAAGTCCGAAAGTCATCCAATGTGCAAAGGCAAGCCCACACGCACAAATTAACATTTGTAAAAATATCGGAAGGAAAACCATCCTCAGGTAGTCTCTTCAGGTTGAAGCAGCAGAAGGTTAAACGCAGAGTAGCTTTGCAGCGTCAGTGGTGGCGAGGCGAGTCGAGTGGAGATTTGCATCCTGTGGCATTCGGCGAATTTGCAAAGCAGTCCCCCAGCAAGCTCAAAACCATGCACAACACAAGGTGGACAGATTTTCCTGTGCAAACATTCCTCTCCATGTGGGATGTTTGGAGCCATGTACTTTGGCGTCAAAGTGCATTTTTGTAAATGGAACGTGACCCCAAATCGCAAGTTTCACACAGAGCGGGCGATGATAGTATGCATTATGTACAGTGTTTTAAAAGCTTCATCGGCAATTAAAAAAAATACATGCCTCAATAGAATGCAGTGGATTTCAAATGCCTGCTTAGTCCTGTTGTAAAATTGCAGATGAATGAAAGCACAACTTTCTAACTTTGGGGGGGGGGGAGGCAAGAACTAATTTGTATAACAAGTAAAAACAATATAATACACATTTCTAAAACCATGACAAAGCTGAACACTCAATTCTGAGGCATAAATGATAAAATGGTAAAGTGACGTTCTTTCCCATCCGCCAAAAGACAGCAGTGATTATGTAATCCACAACGGCAGGTCCTCTTCCTTCCTCCAAGCTTGGTTGAATGTTCTTTACGGAGGATTCAAAGTGTTTGGGGATCAGTAACTCCTAACGGTTCTTTACCAAACTTGAGTCCCGCGAGAAGGAGGTGCGTCAACGTGCACACCATCGACGTGATATTTTAAAACGTTCCTCTCTCACGTTGCTACCAACGGGCTGTCACATGACGCTCGCCGCATGATGTTTGACGAAGGCGATGGCGGCCAGCTCCTTGCAGAACTCCTCCAGAACAATCACCCCCTCCAGCAGCGTGAGGTGGTCGATCCTGTTCAGTGCATGCACGCAGCACAGCAAGGGGGCATCACCACTTCGTTATATATGGCATCGTTCGGCTACCTGCAGTGGGAAGCAGCCTCCCACCAACAACAACACATTGCAATTGCCAGCTGTGGCCACAAGAACTTGGCAAATGCATATTGTTTATACCTGTCAAATGGAATTCTTCATATGAAATCAGGTGAAAATATTAACCATGTGCAATTACATGCACGGTCTGTTCTATTGGCACGTTGAACATTAAAAATAGACCTATAAAATGTATGAAGCCAAGAGGGTTGAATATCCATAATACAAGTTTTTGGGTTAGATTTTTTAAATCTAAAAAAACGTATTATGAATGGGTTAGATGTAACAAACAAAAAAACCTGTATTATGGATGATATTGGTTGTGAAAGCCTCCTACGTGTTAAACAGGGTTGTATATCTCCAGTTGCAAAGACAAGTAAATATCCTGAACAGTGACACGTGTAAAATTTTACGAAATGGAAAATTTGACGAATAGATTGCCTTGTGGAAAGATCACTCACGGAAGTCCCTCGGGCTCAGGTGCCAAGCAGCCTCCTCCGCACCAGCATCATCTTCGAGCTGAAGTCTGGGATGCGCTGAATTCTTAGCATCAGATCCCCAACAACCTGCACAAATATGATAATTGGTGTTTTACCCTTTTATCTGGCAACAAAACTGACACCTTTTTTTACAAGGAGTCATGTTTGCATAGACCACAATACCTGCAGTCGTAATGCAAACAAAAAACATAACTCTGATAATGTATGCACTGTCCTTGAAGTTGATTGGTCCACACCCGAGACAGGTTTCCATTGAGCCTAGTCTCACATGGTGTTGGACCAGATGACGCCAAAAGGCGCACAACTCAAAGACAATGCACCATCAGAGTATGAGAGCTCGGGGTAAGCATTTACACCATTGGAACCTCATTTGCCAGAAGAAAAAATATGATAATTGTTTTTTTACCATTTTATCTGGCAACAAAACTGACATCTTTTTTTACGGTCAATATGAAATTCCGCATTGAATATCAAGCCTCCCTTCAAGCGAGCAAGTATAACGCTCCGGTCACTCACGTAGCGAATGTGACCGTGGTGCTGCGCGGCGCGGTGCCCTCACCCGAACGATGACGGAGAAGAGGGAGCGGCAGCCGGGAGCCAGGTTGATGTAGGGATCCAGCAGGTACTCGTGCAGGTGGGGGTGTGGGTAGAGAGCCAGCTTTGACAGCACCGACGTCACTTGCAAGTTCACGTCGTACGGCTGCAAGAAGCGAGCGGATGTTGCAGGCATTCCAACGTGCAGGAATGAAATACATGTACATAAGATTGCCATTTGTCCATCTGCAAATTAAAGACTCTTGACAAGAGGAACCAAGGAACTAGGGCATTTATCACGAACTATGTACTACGTGACTCCTGACTTTGGTTTAATATGTTTAAACTACTTTATACGTAACACTCTTTACTGCAGAACAATGTACGTAGCATAAACACTTTCTCATGTATGAATAATGGTACAAAAATAACCGAAGAATATCGAAATAGCAACTGGTCAAACAATCTAGGCAAAAGGATCCATAGACTCTTATTAGGGTTTCCTTGATAACTACGCTTTCAATATCGAGGTTGCAAGTGCAGGTTTTCAGCTCGTGGGATTACAAACCTGGTCCAGAATGCGAGCCATGCGGTCGAAGAGCACCTTGAAGAACTGGCCTTCGAAAAACGGAGCGTCGAGGTTGCACCGCTCGATAGCCTTGGGTTTAGCTGGCCAGTCCCAGTGCTGGCACGCCACGCAGCATTCGCGGAACTGCAGAGGTGGCGAGAAGGGAATTTGACTGCACACCCGTTTTCCTTCTTTCATTGAACTTCAGTTAAGGTTTAGTCCATGTTCCAGGCGTAAAGGGAGAACAAATGCATTACGACTTTGCGCTGCTCTTTCAAGGCTTACCTGCCTGTGGGCGTCCCGGAGGTAGGTGTCGTAGCCGGAACCCTCGAGCTGGTACGAGGACTTGGCCTCATCAGGGACAAGGCACAGAAAACTGAAAATGACACGAGCCAGCAGGGACACAACTCCACGGGTGAGTTAAACACGTTTTGCTGCAGCACAAACAAGGCACCTTCAGAAACAAGACTCTTTAGCCTTTCATTGGCACCTCGATAAGATACGCGTTCAAATGCAGGTTGCGACGACCCAGCCGCACGTTTGACCTCACCTGTTGACCACCTTGTGCACTTCGGTCTTTCCATCCTTGCCATGGTCGGGCGAGTGGACCGGGGAGTGGGAGAGCCAGTCGGAGCCCGAGAAGCCCTGGCCACCGGACAGCATGTCGGCAAACATTGGGTCCTCCTCAAGGTCCCTGAGCCACACAGGGAAATTGCCCGGCCGTCACAAGCAGAAGAGCCTGCCCCCCCCCCCCTTCCTTTTCTCAATGCCCCCGCAAACAGATGCCGCTCCTTAAGCTGTTCCACCGTGATGGTGCCGACCTTTCGTGCAACCACCTCATGGAAATTACCAACCAATTGAATAACAAGACGTTGGTATTATTTCATTCGTGAAACATGCATTGAATCGTGTGCTACA